TTAAACATTAATCAATAAGTTCGTCAACTGACCGCTATTTAACATTTAATCGATAAGTTCATCAATTGAGTCCCATACAAATATTAAAACATTTGATCAAAAAGATAAAATTATAAAATATGAGTTTTGGGGACCTATTGTCCACAACACTCCTCCTTTTTTTAATAGCTGGCTTTCCTGGTGTCGACCGGCATCCTAACCGCTGCTCGCCGTTGTCGGAGAGGCCACCGACTGGAACATGTTTCGGTTTGCTGTTGAAGTTTTTCTTGTGGTGAGGTTGCCGGTAAGTCGAATGTGTCTAGCAGGAGGTCAAGAAGAATATTTGTTTCGGTTGAAAGGCGGTTGGGGCTAACCGTTTGCGTAACTGATTCCTATGGCGTTTCCACTTGTCTCTGTCTACCTCAACTTCGTACATGACTCGGCTAGCCCTTCTGACCACTCACGCTTCCGTCCATGGACCATGGGTTGGTCTGTAATCACGGGCAAACACAGGACATCCCACTTCGTACGTGGATTGCTTTTCAAACTTTGTCCGTACTGGTGTCGGTGCATTACTTTGATGCATCAGGCTGTGGATCGTCTTCAGTCTTCTTCCCATTAGAATCTCTGCTGGGGACTTTCGCTCCGGCAACGTCTCATTTGGTGTTGTTCGATACACGTATAAGAAATTTTGCAACGCGTCTGCTGGTGTCCCCTCCCCTTTTGTTTTAGCCAAGGTTCTTTTAAACGTATCCACAAACCTTTCTGCTTGCCCATTCGACTGCGGGTGGTATGGTGGAGAGCGTAAGTGTTTTATGGCTGGTCGTTGACAGAACGACTGGAATTGGCTTGAGGTGAACTGTGAACCGTTGTCAGATACAATGGCATCTGATATACCATTTCGGGAGAAAATTTCTTTGAGGATCTGTATTGTTTTAGTTGTCGTTTGCGGTATGATAGGGTTGATTTCAGGCCATTTCGAAAGGGCGTCGACTACAACTAGGTACATGGTTCCGTTAATCGGGCCTGCAAAGTCGACGTGTATTCTGGACCAAGGATGGTCAGGTTGTGGCCATGAAACTGATGGAACTTTGGCGTTCATTTTTGCCGCTTGCTGACACCGCATACATTTCCCAACCAATTCTGTTATATGTTGATCCATTAGCGGCCAATATACATGACTCCTGGCTATGGATTTCATTCGTCTAATCCCCGGATGACCAAGGCGGAACTGTTTCAGCACTTTTGCACGAAGGGATTCTGGCACAACCACTCTCTTTCCGAACATCAAGCAGTCGTTCACAATGCATAGAGAATCTCGCCACTGATACATTTGTTTTATATCACCATCAAACTTCTTAGTCGACCAACCGTTGGTGACATAGCTCATAGTTCTCTTGATGATGGGGTCGCTCTTAGGAGCATTTTGTATGTCCGTTGCAGATACCGGCAAAGTTCGTATTGCGGTCGTCAGATAACATTTGGCGTGGTCTTCCGCTAGCAGAGATGCAATTACCGTGTTTTCCTCAGCCGCCAACTGGTCACCAATGAGTCGTGATAAGGCATCCGCCTGACCGAATTGTTGAGTGCGTCGGTACTGGATCTCGAAATCATACCCCAAGAGTGCTAAGGCCTATCTCTGAAGACGAATGGCAGAATGAGCTGGACTGCCAGATTTCGACCCGAATATTGCGAGTAAAGTCTTGTGATCAGTGATCCGACCGTACAGGAACTTGTGGAAACGGCGCACAGCAAACACAAGCACAACAGCTTCTTTTTCTGTCTGGCTGTAATTTTTTTCTGCTGGGGTTAGTGTGCGGGCTGCATGCATAGTGGCTTTTTCGGACGCATCTGGAAACTGATGGGAGATAACAGCGCCTAGGCCATACGCTGAAGCGTCTGCAGCTACGATGATCGGCATGGCTGGATCGTAGTGTATCAACAGTAATTCCGAACTAATAATGGACTTCAGTTTACAAAAGGCAGCGTCACACTGTTTAGTTCAGTTCCAAAAGCTGTTCTTCTGCAGTAAGTTATTGAGTGGAGCGCGAATATCATGCATCGATGGAACGAACGCTGAGTAGTAGCTGACAGGTCTCAGGAAAGAACGTAGTGCCGAGACATTAGTGGGAGTGGGCATCAGTTTGATAGCTCGGCTGCTCACAGGATCTGGCCTGCGGCCGTTGGCATCGAAAATGAGCCCAAGTACTTTACCGACTGCGAATAAAATTGGCATTTCTCTGGGAGTAACCGGAACCCGTTGTCACTGATGCGTTGCAGTACCAATGTCGTGCGTCCTCGTGGCTGTTCTAATGTCGTCGCTACAATCAAAATGTCATCCAGATAAGTCGCCACCCCCGAGATACCTGATAGGATGGTATCCATTAGTTGCTGGAAAATAGGTGGTGCAGTTTTGACCCCGAAAGGTAGACGGTTATACTGGAACAAACCACGATGAGTATTGATAGTTAACAGCTCTCTTGATGTTTCGTCTACTTCCACTTGCTAATAAGCATCAGCTAGATCCATCTTAGCGAAAAGCCTTCTCCCATCCAGCATGGTAAATAGGTCTGAGGGAACAGGTAGGGGATAATGTTGTTCCAGAGCTACATTGAGATCTGTTGAAAAGTCAGCACATATACGTCTCGTGCCGTTGGCCTTCTTAATAGGTGCTGCCCATGCAGAATAGGAAACCGGAGTAATAACTCCTTGTTGTTGAGGGCGGTTCAATTCTTCTGTTTGTAATGTTGCATAAGGCGCAGGTCTCTTTGGGCGAAAGGCAGGCTTAGCCCCAGTTTTCAATCGAAGTTTTGCTTTCATGGCGGAGCAGTGACCCAATCCAGGTTGGAAAATAATTGAAAACTGCGTCAGTAAGTTCCTCGTATATGCTTCTAAGTCATGTGGTTGTTGTCGTAGTTGGGATTGTAAATACCAGGTCGCATATGGTATTCAACGGGACATCAGCTAAATTTAAGTGATTGAACCAATCTAAACCGAGCAAATTTAGATCACCTGGCGTTATGTAACATACCCCAACAAATGCTGAATCACGGAAAGTAACTGTACATTCCATTTCTCTTAACAGGTGAAGATAATTACCACACGCCGTACGAGGCTTTTGCGTTGTATGCTGCAAGTTTGGACTGCCCATTTTGGTCCAAGTTTTACGAGAGAGGATAGTGACATCTGATGCAGTACCTATTTGCAATCTAGATGAATGCCCACTAATATTAACAGCTTTAAGCCGATCTTCAGTCGACGACTTTAACCGGAAGTGTTCGCGTTCACGGTTGACGACGCCCATATGCGTAAGAAAATCAGTATCTTCGTTCATAGTTAGCTTCAAGCATCGATAACGAGTATTAAACAGTGACGAGTTATCGCCAGAATGTTGGCTTAATGTTTGATCTGTGTCTGCAAATGATCGGTCACGTGAGTTCAAAGGCAGGGTCAGATTGCAATACTCGTCCAGCTCAGTTGCACCCAATTTACGAAGTTGCGGCCGCACTTTCCAAGCATCATCTTGATTGGCGAAATCAAATTTAAATAGATCTTCATAACGCTTGAACCATATCTCAAAAGTAACATTAGCATCTGGATCGTAATGAAATTCAGCTATACTATTCGCGATGCCATCTACCGACAGCGCCGTGGTTGAACTAGACGTGCTTGGCTGTAAGGGAGGCGAAACCTTGGTCTCCGTCAACATTTGCAACAATTTCAGCTGCTGATGAAGTAACAGTTCAAGTTTGGAAGGGTCCATCACTGAAAAACCACCGTCGCCAAATTGTTAGGTTCGTTAGGCTTGAATGCTACTACTACTCATTTTACTTATTCGGAACAGCAGATGCCAAGTTAGGTCAAGCACACAAATCAAGCGTATTTATACAAATATTTACAATCGATATTTTCACGAGAAATTTTTAAACATTAATCAATAAGTTCGTCAATTGAGTCCCATACAAATATTAAAACATTTGATCAAAAAGATAAAATTATAAAATATGAGTTTTGGGGATCTATCGTGCCCAACCATCCTCACAGAGTCAAGTTTGTTTTGCTTTAAGTGAGTATTTGTTATCAAGAATGTAAGTCCACCAAAGTCTTTTCTTATTCGTTTTTCCTCTCTGTCATCCATATCCTCGCAGTCGAGACATCGACTTCGAGATTAATTTAAATGGAAACAGATTTGTTTGATTCTGCAGGGAAAACATTGTAATTATTATAGCTAGTGTCCAGTGGTATTTCATGTCTGATTTGTTTAAAAGAGATTTCGTTTTTTGATGTTTCGCATTCCAGCGTCCTGCTTTTGCTGCAACATCACTTGTCACAGTATTATGTTCTTCGCTTTCAGTTCTCAAGATACTAGACAAACGATCACCGGCTTTCTTGCTAGGCAACACCTAAAAACTACCTGTCTCTTGAATCCATGATGCCTTGCTCGAACAGCACAACATGTAAAGTTAATGGGAATTAGACTTCGAGCAACCTTTGTGTACAGTAGGATTTTAAAAATTTCACATACATCAATCTGCACTTCTTCCTCCACATGGAAAGAAGAATAAGACTGGTCACATTTGTGAATAAAGCCAAACATTTAAAAAGGATATAAAGGTGTAAACTACTGAAAAATACACAAAATGAACACTAGTGTGATAACCTAATGGACATAGAGTACCACTAAACGGATCTCAAGAAAATTCTAAACCCTAACTAAAATAGATAATTTTAAAGTTAAAAAAATTATTTTGACGCAACAAATACACAAAAGCAAAGTTTATTCTCTACAGTAACCAAATCTCTGTCCTTTTTTAAAACGCGCTGAATAAGTACTTCGTTCATCGCCCATCAATACTACATACCCTATATACAACATACTATTTTCATAAATTTATCATCCTTTTTCATATAATTCACGAATATATTATATTTTATCATGTTCTTATTGTTTTAAACGGTGAGCACCATAGAGTTGAATACGCGTTTTTTGGAAATACTTTATAACACGTTTGAAATCTTACACTATAAACTTCTTACTTTGATCGTAGGGATATCTCAGTTTGAAGATTATAATATTTTTGATTGTCTCATATTTTTTATATGTAATTGAGCTTTATTAATCTTTGGTCCACGTTTCCTCTATTTCTTTTTTCCTTTTAGATTACTGGGCTTATTGTTCCTAACGCTTCCCAAGCACACAAGACACCCTAAGCCTAGGAGCAAACATAGAAAGGGTCGAACTTTATTCCTTATCGATGGCACTACCACTTCTTCCTGGATATAATTTTAATAGAAATGTAAACTTATATTTCTTATGTATTTCTTAAGATTGGGAAAGAAAAGTTCCACAAATCACATTACCTAAAACTGGAAGGCGATCAAGCCTATATGCATGGCGATGACAAGCCAGGGATTGGTGGAGAAAAGCTACCAGGACAAAGAATCGATGCACCAACCAGCATCTATCCGTCTGGAATGGGTAGTCAGTTCCCCGCATGGCTGACGTTTGATAAACAGGTACGAAAAAGGCGGAAATGCCATGTTACATTTATCAAATACATAGTAAAATACATAGGTACGTGGTGGTAAGTCTGAGGTATTTCGCAATACTTATAATGAAAGGTGGACGATCAACAATAAATAAATGTTGCAAAACTAGCAATTCTGAACACTCCTTTCTTAATATAAAGATGTTTTGGTCATGATGAAATATAGATCCTTCCCGAACAAAAATGTTTTTACCATCGAGTTTTATTTAATTTCCGAAGTTCTTATATGAGGTTCACAATCTGCTTTAAAGTACACCACATAAATCCTATTTTGGTTGTTAGTTAGCTAATTATTTACAGATCCAGAACTTTATTTCTAACACTAAAAGTTTGCAACAAAGAAAACGGTCAGTTTGTGCCGGCTTGTTTAAGATATATTGGGATTTCGGAATCAATAATATTTTATTTTATTCTCCTATGTGATCTTCTGCTTTGTTTTCGTATTTTACAGTCTCATCAACTTAGAAAGTGGAGGAGAAAATAAGCTACTCCAATTTTTTTACTATAATGATCATAAAACTGAGACTTACACATTCGACTTTTATATCAACTGTATGTTTGCGTGTTTTATGAGCTATGTAGATTGATCTTTTTTTCCTTGTTCGCCCATCTCTTTCATGTTTGGCTCAAATGTTGTGGGTTTTCTCCATTAGTTATCTACGTAGACTTTTTGAGTCAGCGCTCATGATTTATATGGGTCTATTCCAATTATTCAATATATATTTTTGAGTATAGTGTTGTGGAGATTGTGATTTTACTTCTGGTAAGAACGGCATGAAAAATCCCACTAAGTTTTGAACTGTTTAATATTTATATGCTCAATTTTCAGTTTTCGAAATCCGTTATTCCTTTTATGATTAAAAAATAAACTCTATGCTTAAAAAATTTCCCTTATTTGAAGGATCAAGACTAACGCTCAGTTTTGTTTGTGATATAATAGAAATTAATCCCGTTTCCAAGTGATTATTCATATGTTAAGGAAAGTATTCCGCACACAGTAGGTTTGTTAGTTACATAGAATTTTAGAAAAGCTTTTTTTTATAATGATGTTACGGGTCCTTTTGCAACTTTTCAAGTGAATATTTGTACCAGTAATTAGGTTTTCTATTCAGCAATGAATGCAAAAACGTTTTATTTGGCATTGACCCTGTAATTGATGTGCTTATAATCTGTTGAGACTGGAATATGTGCAATTATATACATTATAAGGTACAAGAGTTGGTGTATTTTGACATAGAGTCAGTAGGATATTACCTATTACATCTATTGTAACTTCCATTTGGAGTATGTTTGGACTCGTCTTGAACATACCTGTTTCGGACATGTGAAAAGATTGGAGTAAGAAAGTGTGTGTTGTAAGTACCTACTTAACACAAAAACTAAAATATCTAGTTAGGAATAAAACTCTTCATAATTTGTATCAGCCTTAACTTAAGCGAGCAATGTTCGGGAACATCTGAACCTTAGCAGATATCCTAATAATACGAAATTCATCTCCTACACTTTTACAAGGAGTTAAGTAGAAAGTGATTACATTTAAATGTGTTTTAGACTGACCAGGTCATAGTGACTGTTGACTCAATGTAAGTGAATAATTAAATAGATGTAATGGTCACTTTTACCTCCCTACCTATCATGTGTGAATACACATTGTGCAGAATTAAATGTATCGATTTGATAAAAGTTAGGGACCATTTGAAACATTTATATTTATTATTTAATGTTTGATATCACGTATGTGTCATATTTCTTAAAATATCTGGAGGATCGAACAAAGCTTATGGATTTACCTACAAATAACCGGGACCGTCATGGAAACTTACTGTTACAGTAAATGATGTAGAATTATTTTACTGTTCATCACACCCCAGACAAAATTCTGACTTATATCGATCGTTTTTGTTTGCGGCAATTTTTATCAATCTACTTTTTCCACGTTTTCAACTAACAAACAACTTTATTTTCTGATCTTTTACGATTAGGCCTTATCTTTTGATGCTTATTTCCAAGAGTCCGTTAATGAAAGACGTGAAGAACAATATCGTATTAGAAAATGTAAAATCTTATTTTACCCAGAGGATGACACTATACAAGTCGTTGAGCCACGTATAGCAAACACTGGAATGGCTCAGGGTAATTTATGCTATGATTTGATTCTACTTTTTAATTCCATTTTAAAATGTTTCCTGTCTTAATCTGCCATTTTTCTTCGTTCCTAACTGTGTCGTGCAATCTGTTTGGTTATTTCTCTGTCTTTGATTTTATTTCACATCATGTACTCTCCATTGGATTTTGAGATATTTGTGCTAAATGTTAATTTATAGCTAGAGTTATAATACCCCATAAAGCTTTCTATAAAGTATGTTTTCTTTTAAACAAAGCAAAAATTACAGTGAGTAAAGTTAATTTTGAGTTTTTAAAACTAAATGTCAAAGAATTTATGCTGGTATAGTTGGATTGTTAAACACTACATTATTTCTACTTACAGCATTCTCTATTTTAGAAATAAACTGGTGTGTTAAAGAAATACCGATGTAAAGAATTATCATCCTCAATTCGTATATTTTACATGCGAATTTATAGGAAGTATTTAGCTACACCTATGTAGTTTTGGGCAGTTTTGGCAGAACTTGTATTATCGTTGAAATTTATCTCAATAAATGATGTATATGATTGGTGACTCTGGTAGCAGTTTCCATAACTGATTTAGTATCAGCTAAAGGAACATAACAGATAGTGAATCTTGAATAAACCTTCCAGTTTAATTTGGAAAGTCCCAGAAGTGAACATCATCTCGTATCTTCTATCTTAAACTTTGTTTTGAAGTTACCCAGTGAAAATTCATTTTATAGTCTCAAATAAATTCATCTTTAATCTAATACTTCATTATTCATTTCTTGGGTCCTCAACCTCACTGGCGTTTTCTTCGAAAAATCAATGACTCAAATTAAAACAGAGGTTTCAAAAATGATCTGTTATCAAAGTTCAACTAGTTTTGAACTTTTCGGTTCACATAACTTACCAGTGCCTATTTTCTGAGGTGATAGTGGGTGGGTTAATAAAATATTAAACATAAATTGGGGTGTTGATAAATTTTTCAGAATATTGACATGAAAAACTCAATGAAATACCATATAAAACAATGCTTAGCAATTCCTTTCTTTTTATATATTTCCGTCCTATTCTAAATGTCCTTTACAATCCTAGAATTGTGTATATATCAGTAGGGTCCGTAAACTCAAATAACTGATTTATTTTACTAAAAAACGTAAGGTTTCGGAAAAAAAGAATTCAGCTACTGAGTAGTCATATTTATATCAGTTCCAAAAACTATCTTATATAGCAGAAAATGAAAAATATTTTGAGTATTATCCTAAAAAAGCTGATCAGTAGATAGATTAACACCCCCTTTATTCTCACTGCAATAACAAGTTTTCAAGATTATAATGATTAAAATGATCCAACAATAATTATTCTGATGTTACTTATTTATCAAGGAACAATTATTAAACGGCACCGTATTTCCAAACCTGTACCAAATGAACATCTCTATTATACTGTGCATGATTTCAATGTGGGAACAGAGTTTGTAGCTTATGGTAAAACATTTCGAATTGTTTCTTGTGATCAATTTACATCGAATTTTTTGCGCAAACTTGGTATAAAATTAGGTAAACCAGAATCAATACCAGATGATCCTTACAGTATTCATCGTAAAGCTGTAAGTAGGTTAGGTGTTTATTTCGTTTTAATTAATTTATCTTGTAAAAACGGTAAGTTATATTATTTTTATTATATCACTATATGTTATATTAAAACACTTTTAAGTACGTGTAATTGAATTATGTTAAGGCTTTTATAAACAGTAGCATGTTTCTAATAAAACTGTTATCTTGAAAAATAGGTAAAGTACTATCCATAATGGAAAACCAAAAAAATATAAATTTATTGTTCACTGTTGGAGAAATAAATGTCACATCACACCATAAAGTGATAAATCACAATAATACATAAATAAGCCGAAAGTGGCTTTGAATGGGTAAGACAGTAACTGATCAACCGTCGACAAACTATCAATAATAAATCCTATGAGAGAAGTTTATAGGTTTATCTAAATCTCATTAAGAATGGAACGCATACACATAGCGTAGTAAACAAGAGCACGATTGGGGACAATTAGATGTAACTGACACGAAATTACGGAACATCTCAATTAAATCTGAGAAACATATAGTGAATACATAATTTGAAAAACATCATTTCATTGTCTCAAACTTGACTGTTACTTTTGCGAATATCAGTCCGTTGTCTCAGATTTCATTGCTCATGCATTTTCATACCAATTGCGTTCCATTCCGTTCCCGTTCTTTCCTTCTCGATCTTCTACTGAAATACGTTCTATGGCTGACCACCGTTATATACTCCTTATGTGGATATAAGTAGCTCACACCAAAACAGTAATCTGGGTTATTCACTAATTATACAAAAAATTATAATTAATAATGATTTGAAAGAAGTTCCAGATTTTACAATATTCATTTCATTATTATATACCCTATAAAAAGTAAAAATTTAATCTACCAAGTATTTACTATCTTCATTTTATATTAGTTTACTGAGAGTATGCAACCACTTAGACCATATGAAAGAATGGATAAACTTCGTCAATTTCTTGATCATGATCGTCATGTGTTGAGATTTTTCTGTTTTTGGGATGATACAGAATCACTTTATGGTGATCCTAGAGAAATGATATTAAACTATTTTCTAGGTAAGCTAATAAGTAATTATGATGAATAGGCCTTTTTAAGTACATGTTTGTTTGTTTCATGTATTGATCTAATAGAGAGAAATGAAAGATCATCCTATCAGTTTTCAGAACCTTGATTTTCATTTATAATTAATCATTGATTCTATACCGTACAGGTTCAATGTTCTGTATATGAATCATAGTTTTACTTCCCTATTTATTCAACTGACCAAGGGTCTTATTTATCTAGATCTATTTAATAGATATTTTAAGACCAATCGGTAATTTATCATTTACAGCTTCAATTGATCAAATTTATTTCTATATAATAATCAAGGAGTCTGTCGATCAAAAAGCAATGTTCTACATCACTAACTGTCTATGAAGTAGATGGTGGTTGTATACTTAATAGTATGTATAATAAGTCTTCCAGCTTGTTGAAATTACCAGTAGCCAAATCTAATAATTTCAGGAAACAGACGAAAAGTCTCAAAGTTCATCATCTACATCTTTTTTACACTTTCTGTGCTGAAAGGAGTATTTAAATAAAACTATTCTCAACAAACCATTTAACAAAAACAATTTAATTTTCAATTGAATGATTTTATTCTTGTAAAAAAAAACGTTTCAACTTTAGTTTACTTAAACATAAAACTCTTTATTTTGTCATTTGACACTAAAACATGGTTTATCTTTTGTAGCCGATGATACAATTGAAATACGTGAAATTATACCAGCTAATTCAGGTCGTGATGCTGTACCATGCTTTTTACGTCGTCAAAAACTACCACGTACAATTGCATCAATACCGCTGCCGGGTGTAGTAACTGACAGAACATTATTAAATGTATTCGGTCATCCACAAAGAGGTGGACATTATATACTTGATAGTCTAAAGGTAATAATAAAAGAAAAAAACGAAACTTTCCATTTTTCTTTAAAATATTGTTTATAAATGTAAATACATTCGTGGAAATTCTATGTTGTATGATTGAAATTGTCATATTAGTCATTACCGAGTGTTTAATCAAATTGATTATCTGAAATAGTCATGGGTTCGAATCTCGCGGCCGTGATATCCTAGTATGGAACTCCTCTATAGTGAGCATCTACGATCCCGCCCCGCGAGACTGATAGGTCCTGAGTTCGGGTCTTGCGGGGTGGGATCGTGGATGCGCACTGCTAAGGAGTGCCACAATAGGACGAAACGGCCGTCCAGTACTCCCAGGTTTTCTATGGTGGTCTAGCTTCAACTGACTCATGATCTTAGCCATTGAAATAGTTTTGTTTGGTAAATCACTTTGAATACTTCTTTAATAGTAATAATAACTTATGTAAAGAAATCTAGTATATTACAGGAATTGAAACCTTGATTTTTACTTGAGTAACCGAATTATATGATAAATGTCCTGAAAATTTTCAACACCTAATCAGTTTACAGATAATATTACTAAAAGTCGGTAGACTGTTCTTTACAATAAGCAGATCCAAATAAGTTTAAACAAATGAGTCTAAAACTTGATGCCATAAGTGAAATTTATGTTTGGTTATCATTCAGTTGTTAAAGATTATCTGTGTCTTAGACAAACAAATCAAGGTCATAAGTTCTTCTTACTGAATATATACAACTATCTATACTCAATCATTTCTTACAAATATAATTGGCATTTTTCATAAACTTTAGTTTCTAATCAAAAGTATTAAACTGTAGTAAATATTTACAACATTACTAAGTATCTAATTACTATGATATTACTACAGTAAAATACAAATGTGTCAAGTTATTTAAGTAGTTTGAAAGTAATAAGGTTTACATCAGTAAAATAAAAGTCAATAAATGGTTTTATCACAACCTATTCTTGTATTCCTTGATGGAATAGGCTTATGATAAATTGTTAATTATTACTATTTCTATAGATTTATTAGGAAATGACTTTATGCAACATTAACATTTTAGGGTGTTAACCAATATAATAGAAATTTACTAAGTATATATTTTGGCTCTGGTCCACCAGGGTGCTTAGTACCTGTGTGGTTGCGACCCAGGATTGAAATGTACCATTCAGATTGTAGCGTTAAAGCTTATATGGTGTCTGGTTCTCCTGGAAACGGGATTGAGCCGTACTATTTTGGCTACAAATTTTAGGCCTGAGGGACGGTGTCTGACTGTCCTTTTAAACGGAATTGTGCTGTAATGTTTAGGTTGTCACATGAAAGTCTGGATGGTGTTTGGTTCTCCTGAAAACCAATGTAAAATTACCATGGCTCACAAGGGTATACAAAAAAAGAAAGAAGAAAAAGATTTTGCTCAGGTTTCTATATGATCTAGATAGGCCTATTTCTGAATTTCTTCCGTTTTTATACTAATCAGTTGAAATAGTTTATTTCAAGGACCTACAAAATATCCATATAAGTGCTGTATTATTGTTAATGATATAACTCTACTCAGGTACATTTTATGCTGTATTTTTTGTACTTTACTGACGTAGTTAGACAGAAATTTACAATAGTCGATTGGCTCAAGATACAATCACTTGATGTCAGAAAAATAAATAAGCTTTCTTCACAATTCATTGATCACTAGGTGGTAATCAGTGTCATGTGTGTCAAGTCCTTATTGGTGCAGATCGAATGCTATCGACTAGTTGTAATGTGGCCACTAGTCTAGGTGACTCGACACTGCATGCACTATGTGAGATTAGATGGTGGTTGGAGGTAGTCAACAGGAAATCCTGCCACTAGGCACTCGTCAGCAAGGTGTACCTGTGATCATGAGGGAACTGGTGCTCTCTCTGACGGATTCGATCTCGTGTCACCCAGCTTCACAGTCAGAGACGTCACTATTGTGCAATCCGGGCCGTGGCCGACCTCCTGTGGGATTGAGATGTGATCACAATTGATTGGTCTACACTAGGAAGGACTTGACACACATGACATTGATCACCACTCAGTGATCAATCAGTTGTGATTACATCTCAGTCCTACAGGAGGTCGGTCACGGCCTGGATAGCACAGTAGTAACTTCTCTGACTGTGAAGCTGTTTGACACGGGATCGGATCCGTCAGAGAGCACCAGTTCCCTCAAGATTACAGGTATACCTTGCTGACGAGTGCCAAGTAGCACGAAACTCGGGTGCAGGATTTCTTGTCAACTACCTCCAACCACCACCTTATGTCATTTGTTTCCTTAGGATACTGGAGCCCATGTGCATCATTGGTTTGGAATCAGTGTTTCCCAACTCCCCTATGTGAACCCTATATGTTCACTAACCTAGTTAAAGCCCCAGATATTCGCTTTTCGTGCTCTCATTTTCGTAAATAACACCCTCGCCCCAAGAAGGCAATGAGTAGGACTTTCGTGGCAGTGGTTGTTTTGCACGTGGCTATGTGAGAGCATTTCTAAAGGGAGAGCTGACTCTCCCCACTCTCAGCCGTACCAGGATATTTGGGGGCGATATTGACTCTCAACAGAATCCAATAAATAACATTTATTTCTTGAGGAATTTTGCTTAACTGTTTAAGCTAATTTTAAAAGAGCTGAAAAATAAACTTAGGGAATGTACCCTTTCACAAAATGTTAACCAGTGTCTTTGTTTATTGTTTATAATTTTTATTTTAATGGTATGCCATAATTAAAATAAATGATCCACTTATTTCTTCACCTCACTAAAACTAGCTTGGTGCACCTAAAGATAACTTTTACAAAGATCATGATTTAACAATCGGTGCAAATATTAATGTTTATGGTAGAAAGTTTTTAATATGCGACTGTGATGAATTTACCAAAGAGTATTACCGTATCAAGTACGGCATACGTAAGTCAGTAATTTTCTCTTTGCATTACGATTACTAATTATATTGATGCCAATACATGACAAATTTGTTATGGTCACGATTTATGTCTCCAACTCATTCCCATACCATATTAGGATAGATCATTTCAAATTACTTAACAGTATGAGAAATTTGTAGAGATGGTTCTATTCGACGATAGCATCTATCACTGACCAAATTTAGTCAGACAATCAATAACAAGCAATATGCCGTTAACAACTTTTCGTCCTTTTCTAGAAATCATTAGTATTGGATAACTTCCAGTGGCTACAGACTTTGTTATATGTTATATCCCAATAAGAATGATGAATGGTAATTTTCGGGATCCATTTATGGACCAATACTATGGGTATATTTTTATCATGTAATTGTTATGTAACTAAACTGTTCATATCCATGTCCCGCTTATTATGAGTTTTATTTTGACCTATGAACTATTATTATGCGATTTACCATTCTTGAGTTATAGCCTGTCTATTAATTACTAACTCCCTCATTCACAGCCGCATTTGGCTAATTCTTGTACAAATGTTGTTTCATATTCTATGGCACGTTGTGTCTGTCTGGTTGGTATATAAACCCAGTATGCTTGAAATAAATGATTCATATTGCAGAGGCTGAGATTGGTGTTTTGGACTTAACTGGCTGGGCTGACAGGAAGTGAGACCAATAAGTATTCTATGCTGCTCGCACGTGTTTTATGTATCACTGGTTCAATCGATAATTTGCTGCTCTTTGATTGGTGGTATCGTTGCGATATCCAATAAACAGGGCACACAGGTTCACAAGTTATAACGTTATATGAGACAGGCATCATGGATCCCAATGGCTGATAATCACTCAATATTACGAATAAAATTCAGCTGGTAATGTAATCCATCCAAAACCAACTTAGCAGTATAAGCGCAACTCTCACTTAGCGAAGCCTGAAGTTCGTAGACTTGAATTTTGATAAAGCTGCTGATACACGCTGTCGAGCAGTCCTATACTGAGACGAAATAACTGTCCACAGATTTCTAGTTATTGCTTATTGTCAAGCTTTAACTAGTTCATGATGTTAGTCACTTTCAAAGTAAACTACTTAAGAGTAGCTAAAACTATTTATATAATTATTTCAACAATATCTCATGTTTTTTAGTCTACATGACTAGTTAAACTCATTGTATCAAGGCTGTATTGTGTCCATTTATTTAAGTAACTTAATAATGGCACAAATCCATGAAGTCACCGACAAGTGGACTAAGCCATGTTGGTAGGTTTAGATTACCTGGTTGGGATCTGCGAGACGATAGCAACCGGTTGTTAGAGACCCTGAATGACATGGCTCAAAATCGTTTGCAATGGCACAGGTGCATCCGCTCTTTGTGTTCTCCCAAATTCTAATCTTCTGAATTCTTCATGTCCCTTTTTCTCCTCCCAAATTTATTTCACTGGATTATACTCCTTGAATAATATCTTCAAACCCTAAACTTTCCGATTACTGCTTATACTTGTACCAACTCTACCACTATGAAATTTGAATAGGTAATTTTATCTCTGTGCTAATGTGGCACGTCAGTCAGTCAGTCACGGCAACTCGAACTGATGTATGTACGTACGAAGCTCTACATTGTTGCTGACTGACCGAATTATTCTAATGAAAAATAGAATAGAAGTGACACTCATAATTACAGCTATTCCATGTTTATACATAATTTAGCTTTAGGGTCATTAGTTCAAATTACATGTGCAAAATAGAAACATGAAGAGGTTCACGTAGATATGTGATAGCTAAAGGGTTATACTTCTACTCGTAAAATACTACTATCAGATAATTCTAGAATGCACCAAAAGTCCTTAGGTAACATTACTCAACGTCAGTTTCAGTGGCACAGATTTATTCGTTCCTTACTATCTTCTAAATCGAAAGTTGTGGGGACCTGATCTAATTCACAGTGCTAACAGGTCCAATGTTGTTTTTGACTGACTGACTGACCTACTGATTTAAGTTCTATAAGCTGAGGTAACTGATCAATTGCAGTTTTAAACATCATTCGGAAGATCCATGCAAACAATACAAAAATCATACAAGTTCTCTTTGAAAATTAATATTTGTGATTTATCACGATTAAATTTTGTTAATTCTTTGCAGAAGATTTCACCCCAGTTAAACCTAAGCTGCAAGATCATATCACCACTGTGAAACGTGAAATTCCACCATATAACGGTTGGGGTACTGATGAAGATTCACTAGCTAACTGTTATAGTTTAGTACCAAAAGCACCAAATCATAATTTTAAAAAATTCATGGAATTAGACCGTCAAGGTTTAGAATCTCATGTTTTACGTTTTGCTGGACGTTTATTGTCTGACCGACCGACAGATCGTGATCGTCAGTTTGTGATTAGTTGCTACTTGTCAGATGATACAATTTCAATTTTTGAACCGCAACAAAAGAATTCAGGTTAGATATTTTATTTTCCAATCTTTTCCTCTTAATCATAATGATGCTTATTTATTATTTAGGATATCAATCTTTTCAATCCTTTATTCACTAATACTAGTAAAGGTTTACACTTCTAATGTATCCGACTGATGGATCCCAGATATAAAGAAACACACTGCCAACCATTATTCAAACTGTATCCTTTTATTTGTTTCTTAAAATAGAACTTATTAAACCCTAAATATTTAATAAGTCTTCAATTCACTGTGGCTCATTAACTAATTTTTAACCAAAAAAGAGTTAGTCATTATTCTAAGGTTCGAGTCTGGCTACTTCATCTTCGAAGTTGATAGACTACTTGTTAAGATATTCGAATTGTGTTAAACTATTAAAGTTATCTATACGTATATGTTTTAAACAAACGAAGTTTTCATATCAAAGATCTTAAAGAGATCATTGTTATTACACTATACAAATTCTTCATATAAAACTTTATTACATAAGTGTAAAGCTTCTTAAAATATTTTCATTTCAGTAGTTGAGGTCATGAGTCAATTGAAGATGGACCTACATGGAAAACGTGGAAGTATTGAAAGGCTCCACAATACAAAGAAACGGTCGTCCAGTACTTCTAGGTTTTCCATGGTGGTCTATCTTCAATTGACTTATGACCTCAACTATTAAAATTACGATAATATCTACAAAACCCCTTCTGGTATTAAAATATTCTAGTTTCAACACAGATTATAAGAAACTAGAAATTTCTAAATTCAATTCCCAAATTAATTTATTATTTTTTTCTGTGAATCATCAGAAGTTTAAGGTTATATAAATTTAACGGCATTTTAAATGTTACATACAAATGTAATTTAGGTTCTCGATTCTAAAGTCGTAGAAATAACATGAACAAAGAATGCTGAATATGACTTATTGTTTAGATAATAATTTTAATAATATAATAGCTGAATTCATAAGTCAACTGAAGCTAGAATACTATGGAAAATGTGGAAGCACTGGAAGACCGATTCGTCGTAGTATGAGACTCCTCAGAAGTGCGCATTTACGATCTCGACTCACGAGATTGAAACCCAGGACTAATCGATCTCACGAGCGAACGTAATCGTTGAAGAAAGTTCTGTTGAAAGCAAAGTAAACATAAATAAAGTATTGATGAACAAAGTGAATTTTTTTAGTGACTTCTTCGTATGACAAATTATTTTATCAGATAAGTCAATGAATCCTCTGAATGTCAACTTATTCGTTCTTAAGATTCCTTTAGTAGGAATTATGAACTAAGTTTATGAATTTGTATTATAAAAGAAAAAAGAAATAGGTATATCATTAAAAACATTAAGTACAGTGATTATTCACATCTTTCTCCATAATGAAATTTACTTATAAATGGTAGTAAATTTAGAAATGAATTCCTTATTAGGTCTCTTGTTTGATGAAAATGTTTATGGTGAAGACTGGAAATAACTCGTTAAATAGTTTGATCAATAAAGAACCTACATATATCAGTTTTGATTTATGCTTTAAGGATTTTAATATTACTATAAAAAATTACTATAATATCCACAAAACCACCTTTCTGATATTAATCGACGTATGCTTAATAGTGACAGTCTCCGAGAGGTATTTCCTGGAGTTCTAGTGAGAAGCAGTGACCATTGGAATTCAAACGGATCTGTTGTGAGGTAGTAACTCATTGAAGACAATGGTGGATGTGTCACTCAGTTTCGTGGATTGGTTGAAGTTACACATTAACACCGTTGGATGCTGGCTCAGTGGTCTAAAGGTTAAGTATTGACGCGCGAGACCGATAGGTCCTGAATTCGAATCTCGAGAGGCGGGGTCGTGGATGAGCATTGCTGATGATTCCCACACTAGGACGAAACGGTCGTCCAGTGCTCCTAGGTTTCCCATGGTGGTCTAGCTTCAATTGACTCATGATCTCAACTATTGAGATTTTATTATTGTCAATCCCTAAATCAAATCTACTTTTAAACCAGAAAAATTTGAATCTCTGACATTTCTCGATATTTTGACATTAAGAACAATAGATGACAGCAATGAGACAAGCATTTTTACATGAAATATCACATGTTGAAAAATATAATAACTTAATTTGTTTTCTTTCCCTTCAGTACAAAAAGGATTTCATCTACAGAATTTAGTAAGTCAGGGTAGACACAGGGAATACTGTTAAAGAGTTGATAACATTAGTACACATGACTCTGTACGAAGAATTTATCAAGGTTAATACGATCAAAGTAGCAACTGAAAATCACTCAACATGAATAAGCAACAACAAAAGCAACTATTATTTTTTTACACTTCAATTCAAGGAGACTGCAATTATTGAAGTATTAACAAGAAAACTAAGAAAGATTATAGGTGGAAAACTTACTTCACTCAAACTGTATATTGTTTATACACTTTGTTGTTTACTTTCTATATACGTCTATATGTACTTATAAATTCAGTTGTTCCTATAATAAGTATAAGTAAATAAGTAGTGTGGTGTGGGTTAAGGAGTATATAATGGTAGTCAGGCATAGAACGTATTTCAGTAGAAGATCGAGAAGGAAAGAACGGGAACGGAATGGAACGCAATTGGTATAAAAATGCATGAACAATGAAATCTGAGACAACGGACTGATATGCGCAAAAGTAACAGTCAATTTTGAGACAATGAAATGATGTTTTTCAAATTATGTATTCACTATATGTTTCTCAGATTTAATTGAGATGTTCCGTAATTTCGTGTCAAATACATCTTATTGTCCCCAATCGTGTTCTTGTTCAGTACAGTAGAATGATGTAGTATGTTCATCCTCGATTTCTTGGACTCTATCCAGCGTGGTTAGATAAAATGTTTAATACGTAATATAAAATCAACGAAAGTTCAATAATCATTATTATATATATATATATGGTGCTTCATGATGTTCATTTACTAACTATAACAGTGACAATAGAAATCAGAATTTTCGAATTAAATCTATATAAATCTGCATTATGTGTTTAGTAGTTCTTTCATCCTTTATAGTCTTTATCAACTATCGTTTCATAACAAAATTCATTCTTTATTGCAGTTAACGGAAAAGTGTAATTATTAATTTTATGTATAATTTAAGTATTACTACTGGTTGTATTGTTGTCAGTAACAGTTTTATTTTTGATTAAATAGTGAGTCATTCATTCTATGATGTGTACAAGACTTTTCTTACAACTTGTACACGTAACACGTTAGCTTAACTCTTTCGTTAGTTTAATGGAATTATTATTGATATTATCATCATTTAGTTAGATTACATTCATCGTAGCATATGTGCTTATATTGTTTCTCAAGTAATACAATCCATTTTATCGTTTAGATCACCAGATAGTATTCTATCCGGCTGTCCAATTCAGTTACAATATACACTTCACACTGTATACTAAACCCAATATCCAAGTGAGTAGTTGCGAAACTGAACTATAATCAACATAAATCATGGGGATGAACTCATTCACTTTTTTTTACCCAGGAAAGGATATATAAGTTGACACCTCGAGTCATGCATCAGCTTCTTTCAATAGCATGTCTCATGTATAATATTACCTACTATTCAATATTGAGGCCACGTGTAAGCACCGACATGTAATATGTTTAAACTCTTACGGTTTAGCAGACAGTCACAGAAACTAAAACTGCTTCAGAGCTACCTAATTTAGGATTACAGCCATATTACCGTGACAGCTTTTGATATGACCACCCTGATATTTGTTACAACAAACTAAATATTTCTGTATAACCTGTCAAGTTTAAATAATCAGTAAGAGGATATCTACAAAAATACTTATGAATTAAATAAATAGTTTTTGTTAGAAACTCTCGATAATTCCTCGAAGGTGTCTTCAAAAGCCGGGAAAATACTGGGAACACTTTGGCGACTTATTACACATCCCTTCCCAGGTCGAACAATTACTATACTTTTCATCAATTTCATTATGATTTTTAGTAGCTTCTAGAATCTGGAGTTCCTATAAATAAAAAGTCCTCAAAGTAAAGTTTCTTCTAAACTTCCCAACCTCTGTCTTTTATTTGGATTTCAAAAGTGAAGGAATCGTGAAGACCAAAAACAAATGTCTAAGTGTTAAAACAAAAAACTGATTATTACTACAAACTAGCATCAGCTGGAGAGCTACTAAAACGCTTAACAAAGACTGGATAGGTATTTTGTTTTAGATTCCGAATGAGGTCCGATGTAGCATCTGTAGGTTTTACAAAGAACAATGTCATAAGGTAATAATCAAGAATGCCATTTTAAAGGTAAACTACTGAATTTGAGTCAAATGGTAAAACTGTTCCGTACTAGTTGCGAGAACTATAGAACCAATTCGGCATCCAGTGTACTTTGAAGGTATAGTTACTTCATTTATCCTTTTTACGTGAGTCTTTAACTCATAGTACAACATTTTGCTGAGCTAATCAGTTGAGTTTCTAATTTTTCCCCCAATAATATGACTCCATTTGCACCTTCTTTAATATCAAGAGATATGATCATCTTGATAAAAAAAATTGATGCTCGTTTCTTTTCCCAATTATCTAACTTCTTTATTCACTCACCCTTGTAAATACAATTTCACTCATTCACCTACTAATTCTTCTTTATTTCAAGGTTTCCAAGGTGGTTTATTCTTAGAACGATCAAAAATTAAAAAACCCAACAGTAAATTATTTGATAACAAACCAATGGAATATTACAAACCAACCGATTTATATGTTGGTGCTAAACTGGATTTTAATACATTTCTATTTGAATTAACTGAAGCCGATGATTATACATTAGATTACATGGAGAAACATAAAACACAATTTAAACAAGCTGATTATCAATTAATATTGAATAAATTAATAACAATATTAAACAATGAACAATGTGATGAAATTATCAAGTATGCTGTAAATCAAGATCCAGATGATACAGGGACATTTGGCTTTGATCAAATGATAAATTTAATTAATCAGTTGACTGGTAAAGAGAATGCGTTAACAACCCATGAACTGGGTACATTGGCAAGACATTATGGTGTTAGGTAAAAAATTTTTTTTATTAAAACATACAATGATCGTTTTTTTCGGCGAGACTATAATTTATGGGTAGATCAATCAGATATGAGATAACACGTAATGAATTTTGCTCGAAATTCATCCACACATTTGGTTAAATAGAGTTCTGGCATTATAGCTGATGTTGGCTGACCGTCAACTGTAAATGAGAATTCTAAATGACGTAGAACTTCTTACGTACGTACTGACTGACTGACTCATCTTGCTAATCACGATTCCATCAAGTTGATTATAGGTTTACTTATGCATAGATCTTAGTTTCCAAGAATGTTATAAAAATTATCATATTTACACAAAATAATTTCGAATCATCTCACTTTCCATTATTTGCACATGTTTCTAAACGATCTCACAGATTATCATTTGTCCACCTTTGTTTTAATGTATTCTGTGTATAGTCTATTTATACCTGAATAGAATATGACAAAAGAAACTGATTAAAAGTCAAATCAATCCTGTTGCTCTCTTAATTAGATATCTAATGAGAAAGCAGGTTGACTTTATGATTTCACAAATTATCCTTGACCTCTGAAAGACAATCATACATCTTGTCAACGTTATATGCTTTGGAGTAAGATTTATTCTACTTCATACACTTTAAATTTTATATATGCACATAGATTTTCTAAAGCTGCAGTTTTCTGAATGTGGTTCTACGAGAAACATGTATAAAGTGGTTCAGTTTAGTAAAAGAAACTAATGATACACATATTTCATAGTCATACTGCTATGTTTGAAAAGATTACGAGTTTACCTAATCTGAGGACGAAACGAAGACACTGTGACACAATGACCTATAAGCTAGCTATTCTGACGCATCCAAGCCCCGCTAACTAGGGAAAGAAGATGGAGTTCAAAACGGGGAAATATATTCCACAAGCATCCAAAAGCTCGAACAATAACAACAAGCACAACACAAGCGTACATATACAGCATAAGAATGTCCTTCAGAAACGGCACAAAATAGCATACTAAACGAGATAACGAACCAATAGCATTTAAGTTCCTCCCAAGTGGGAAATACGATATGAAAGTGAAAATGGGTGTTTTCGGAGCGAAAACAAGAAATTTGCATTTTTAAAATAGAATTATAAAAATAAGGCATTTACCAAGTGAGTTCTGGTGATCTAACATCACCAACACATACATACAATGAAAAAGAATAAATGAAACAGTTAATAGCATAACCAACTGCAACGAACATGTATAAGCTTTTTTTGTGTCATGTAAGCAGATAAAATGACAGTAATCACAAAGCAGCTTGAGAAATAAATGATGATAGTAAAACAATAACATGAATTATCAAGTGATGAGTGATTTAAAACACGGATGAAGTAATAAGCAAGAGTATACCATTTGAATGATTCAGAATATACTTGATTCAATGACCGATTGGCAAAGAAGGTAAAAGAAAAAGATCGAAGTACAATACTATAAACGTATGCGAGTCGACTGATAGATTACATGACAATGGGTCGACAATAAAAACTAACTTCTCGCCAGCCAATCACAATTTAGTTGGTATGAGTATATCACAGAGGTGGTAATTGAAAATTTAAAAAGGTATGTAGACTACATTAGGTAGAACAATGTGATTTTGTATCCATTTGAGTTTGTTTCTGATATGATGGAAAGAATAGTCAATTTTCGATTGATTTACTCATTCTAAGTTTTGTTCAAGATTACTTCCGTTTGATTCAATGTAATGGCTACTCAATGTAGTTTTTGTTTTCTGTTCTCGTATGACATTTTATTCTGTATAATATGCGATATTCTTGTATCCGATTGACATGAACTATGCTCAGTCTGTGATTTGTTATAACTCTAAGTATGTTTCATATATGTGATTTCATCCTAATTATTAATCAAAATGGATGTACAATCAATTTATAAATGAGTGTATTTTCTACTAGAGTTGTTGTTGTCGTCGTGTTTTGTGGGTTGATAAATCATCACTTATATCAGTCTTTGTGTTCTTACTTTCACGTCGTGGGAATTGCAGAGGTACCTCGTTCCGAGTATAAGTGATAAGCGTTTCCGACATAACAATCAGCGATGACCAGATACAAAAAGTAGCATTAAAAGAGCCAAGACAAGAAGCATTCAAACGACAAATTATAACAGTTTCACTTACTAATTATAATCATTATTTTAACTTTAGACCATCCAAGGAAATAAATCTTGAAATTTTGCTTGGGATTGCACAACAAACACTTCGTAGAAAAGCATTTGAAGATTTCTACAGTTTAATGATTGCCTGTCGCCAACAAGATGCCGATAAAACAGGTGAAATGGACCGTCATGCAATAAGACGCATATGTTTAGCGCACCACCTACCATTACCTGATGACATGTTGAATTCGCTTATGAATTGGTAAGTCAATTTTGTAAAATATTCGTCATAAAATATTGACTTCAGCTAGAGAACTATTTAATACAATGAAGGACTGAAAAGTTAAGGACTACTTAACAGAGTTCAATTACAACCACACTAGTAATTGAAACATTCACTATTCAATAGTTCCAACTTTCAACTCCCAGATATTCTCAATACACTGTGACTAACTCATTTGTTTTGTTGTATTTTTTTACAATTGAGTTTTATAATTGTGCGATCTCATGTCTCTGAAACAGTGAGCAACTAGCTGACATTTAGTTAAAACCGGTGTTGCGTAAAAACGCTTATTTTCATGTGTCTATAAACCTTCTGTAAATAGTTCAGTGAAAATATAATGTTCACGTGACTATAAACATTAATATAACATTTTCTGACAAGACATTTCAGCTATGAATAACTTGGTATGAATGTTGCTTCAACTTAAATTACAATACTTTTATTACTAAATCAAGATAATAAAGCTTTTCGTATCTTTTCGAAATCTGGTAACTCTAGAATATTACACAATTTTCAAGATTGTTTTCAACATGAGGATATGAAAAGACAAATGGCTCAAGATACAATCACTTGATGTCAGAAAAACAAATAAGCTTCTTTCACAATTCATTGATCACTGGGTGGTGATCAATGTCATGTGTGCCAAGTCCTTATTGGTGCAAATTGAATGCTATCGACCAAGTTGCAATGTGGCCACTCGTCTAGGTGACTCGACACTGCATACACTGATGTGAGATTAGATGGTGGTTGGAGGCAGTCAACAGGAAATCCTGAACACGGGTTTCGTGCCACTTGGCACTCGTCAGCAATGTGTACCTGTGATCTTGAGGGAACTGGTGCTCTCTCTGACGGATTCGATCTCGTGTCACCCAGCTTCACAGTCAGAGACGTTACTATTGTGCTATCCAGGCCGTGACCGACCTCCTGTAGGACTGAGATGTGATCACAATTGATTGATCACTGGGTGGTGATCTGCACTACGAAGGACTTTACACACATGACATTGGTCACCAGCCAGGTACACTTTGCTGACGAGTGCCAAGTAGCACGAAACCCGGGTCCAGGGTTTCCTGTTGACTGCCTTCAACCACCATCTAAATAAGTCTTTTTATTTGTTGTTTATTTTCCAAACCTTAATATCGTGATTAAAAATCTGTAGTTTGAGGGAGAGTAAAATGATTATAGTCCTGAACTTTATTTAACAACTTTAGCATCATTGGGTATTATCTGCAGAAAGCACCATAACTGTACTTATTAAATTTCATTTTTTTTAATTAATTTGATTCATTGATATCACACTTTAGCTTTACATTTTTTAATGCACTCGTAAATCGTTGTTCTAACTGTTTGTAAATGACTTGATAATAAATAATTTAATCCGTTGCCGCGTGGAGTGTGAGGAGCACTTGTCTCCTTCGTACTGTTTGAGTAGTTTTAAATGTATGATTTACTTGCTAATTATCCATTTCATATTCTTCAAAACTTTAACTTGATATCACCGAACATATTCACTAACATTTTTTTAATATTGAGAATCAGTTAAGTAGAATTAAATAAATAATAAAGCCTTAAATGGTTATCTATCACAAGTGAAATTAACAATGACTTTATATTTGATATTTATATCGATATAAATAGTAAAAATATTAACTATTCTCAGTACAGTTAATAATAATGCCGACTCAGTGGTCAAGATGTTAGGCATTCGCTCATGAGACCGGAGAACCTCGGTTTGATTCCCGCGTGGGGGCTAGTGGATGCACACTACTTAGGAGTCTCATACTAGGACGACACGGTCGCCCAGTACTTCCATGTTTTTCGTGATGGTATAGCTTAGATCAATTCGTAAACTCAACTGTAATCATATATCTGATGATGTACATATTTGGATAATTAATTACTGAGTAATGGTGTTCTAACTTCGTCGTTTAAGTGAATTTCACAGAATGGATGTACCAGTTGACTGAAATTAAATCATTTTTTTGTTTTTAAAATGGTATTATCTTAGTAACATACCGTAGTAGTAGACTAGATTCAAAACAAACAACTAATTGAAATAGGATTATAAGCTTTCTTTTCGAATCACTGATAATGAATAAGACAGAAGCAATACTACGTTGAAGATCATCACAAGGTTTACGTTAAGAAATATGTATAATCTTATTTTTCTAATTAAAATGTGTCAACAAAAATAAATAAATTTCCAGTCAGTTAAGAAAATATAGGATCTGACAAAAATGTATGTTGATCCAAGTTGCCATTTTTCATATCGCCTATACCAAAGAAAAAGACTACTAATACGAAAGTGAAGGAGGGTTAATTAATACAATTAATAATGATAGAAAAAAAAACTTGTTTCGGAAAGAAACGGATGGAATGGACAACATCGGAAATGAAGATATATGTTACGTGCATTCCACAAATCGATTATATGCGTGAAAACATTCCCCTCAAAATAGTCAATATCATACATTAATCATACGACGGACTACCCTGCAAAGTCATGTATGAAGGACAGCTGACAACCATATCCCAAGTGAGGACCGGTGTCAGATGAGGTTGCTCACTCTCTCCATTTTTCTTTCTCCTGATGGTCAACTGGATTATGAAGACCTCCACATCTGAGGGAAAACACGGAATACAATGGACAGCTCGGAATAAATTAGATTTGAACTTCGCAGATGACCTAGACCTTCTATGCCATCAATCAGTCAGCCAGCCACAACGTAAGACTTGGCACCTATATGCATCGGTCCAAGTTGCCATACCTCATTAGCACAACAAGATGAACACCGGATTCGTAAGAGTGGTTAAGTCAATGGTGGTAATATATAAAAGAGAGATTGCATATAAGGATATAGTACGGGAAGAAAGAATTAGTTTGTAGAAAGATATGAAGGGATTTTAATCTCTTAGTTTAAGGGAAGACAGCGAGTGTATACACCGACACCATTGTAATCGATTCTCAGCCATGTCACCAAGAGTCTCCAACCATTGGTTACGAAAGTCACGCGAACCTCAACTAAGTAGTCTACATCTACCAACATGGCTCAGACTAGAAGTTAGTGACTTCAAGCACTGATGCCACGTTTTGGTTTGGCCGCCCCTAACTTTCTTCCAACCATTTCCAATACCGGATAGCATTGCACGTCGTGGTAATCGGTGTTCAGGCATACGCAACACATGGCCCAACCATCTCAGTCGATGAAGATTCATAACCTCAACAACTGATTTTCCATCACTCCCCTGTGTCTAACTTCATTATTATATACCTAGTGATCCTAGCAGATGCGAGCAATATTTCTAAGGCATCTGTGGTCAAATACTAGAAGCTTACGAATATCTCTAAATTACCACGTTTTGCAGCCGTAAAATAAAACAGAACGAACTGCTGCGCAGTACACTCGCCCTTTTATTGATAGACTGGTGTCTCACCTTCGCCATAGGTGACGTAAGTTGGCAAAAGCCAAACGAGCTTATTGGATCCGTGCTGAGATTTTGTCAGACCCTGCTATCCTATACATATCAACAAGTGCAAGTCAAGGCAAACAATGTAACAGCAGCCTCAGAATCTCCAATACAAACATCAAAACAGTTCTACTGTATGGGGCTGAATCATCGACAACTGCAACTATCATCAAAAATGTACAAGTACCTATAAACAATTGTCTACATAGGATACTCCGTTGACCGGATACCATCAGCAGTAACCTACTGTGGGAGAGAACAAACCAGCTTGCAGTTGAAGAGGAAATTAGGAAAAGACGCTGGAAGTAGATAGGACGCACATTGCGAAAATCATTAGACTGCTTCAAATGGGGAGCGCTAACTTTGAATCCTGAATGGAAACGGAAAAGTTAATGAACACATTGCCTCGGGAATCGGCAGCAGACATGAAAAAGATGAACAGAAACTAGAAAGGACTGGAAAGTATTTCCCAGGACAGAGTTCGATGGAGAATCTTGGTAGGCGGCCTATTCTCCTCCACGAGGGGTGACAAGCGTAAGTGAAAAATGTTTGAAAAACCACTGAAAAATAAGGAAAGTCGGGTAGCTATTTCATCCTATTTAGTGGACTTTTCAATTGTATATATGTACAAACGCATGAGTACAAAGCTAGTGTTAACCTGTAAAATCCATATCAATATGAAACAGTGAAATCATGTTTCTACCATATTTACAAACTAATAATTCACAGCCCCCAAATGAGGAGAGTCAGCTCTCCCTCCTACTCACTCTCTTCTCACGGCATTATTGTTATTTACGAAATTGAGAGGACGAAAACCGAATGTCTAGCGCTTTAACCAAGTTGGTGGACATAGACAGTCCACCTAGAGGAGTTGGGACACCATGATTTAAAACTAGTGGTGCACATAGACTTCATGATATTCTGAAGGAAAAATGGTATATAACCAATTGTTGGTTACCGACTATTATGGGACTGTATCTCCTAACGTTACTCCATTACCTTGTAGGTCAGACCTTTTAGGTCAAAGGCTCAGGGTGTAGCCACCTAAGAAAATCACCTGCTTCAGTTTGGTCACCCAGGCAGTATTTCAGCTCTTATAAAAATCAAATGATTTATATGGCATATATCTTTGTTTGATGCCTTCTTGTACCTATGTTTACGTGTTTAAATAAATAAATAATTTACTACTCAATTTACCCTTTTTTTAATTACACGGTTTTTGATTTTGTTAAAATCATAAATATTAATATTTTTTCTTTCTCACTATTAAATTACAGTTTAGTCAATCAGAATAATTTAATACAATATGAACAATTTATTAATCAATTAAATTGGAAAAATTATGAAAATAAAGAATTATCTATTCAACCATCATTGGATTCTATTGGAAATATGAATATTGATTGGTTACCAATAAGTAAAGGTGATATGCCAAAATCAATTAATTTAAGTAAAAAATCAAAAATCGATAAAATCAATTATAAACAATTGATTAATGATTTATTTATGAAAGATTTATTTCATTCATCAATTGATTAATTAATCAGTTTAATAAAATAATTAATTATTATTTTATTTCTTTTTTATATACAAAATCTGTATACGAAATAAACTATATATATATATATATATATATATATATATATATATATATATATATTCATTTTAGATACAAAATTGCCTAGTTATTGTTAGTCAATTGAAGGAATGAAAAGATAACAAATTATCTATCTGTTATGTTAATAAGAATGCTGAAGTAATATAAAAAAGCAACATATAGATAGATAAGTAATATGCTTTACAAAGGTTATTATTATTTTTATTTCAATACATAGATACAAGGAGGCACTAAATACATATGCACCACACAATTCTCATTCGATATGTGTGAGGGCTGTGATACTGCCCGGGTGCCAAAACCGAAGCAGGTGGTTATCTTAAGAGGCCACACCCCGAGCCTTCGACCACAAGGCAGTGGAGCATCGTAAGGACATGCAGTCCCATGGTAGCCGGTGACCAACAATTGGTTCATACGCCATTTGTTCCCTCAGGATACTGGAGCCCATGTGCAGCATTGGTTTGGAATCCGGTTAAAGCGCCGGGCATTCGCTTTTCGTCCTCTCATTTTCGTAAACAACACCCCTGCCACGAGAAGGCAATGAGTAGGAATTCCCTGGCAAAGGCTATATACGCGTGGCCATGTGAGAGCATTTCTAAAGGGAGAGCGGACTGTCCCTACTCTCGGTCGTACCAGGGCATTTGGGGGCCTTTACAAAGGTGATCAATAATGGATATGTAAAATATCTAAATAAAATCATTAAACAAAGAAAGGGTAATAAAGTTTGGGGAATAAAATGAATTCATTCTATTTCATAGTTTCTTATCAGCTGCATACAACGTAAACTTGTTATTATTAATATCGTGAGTCAATTGAAGCTAGAGCACCATGAAAAACCTGAAAGCACTGAATGACCATTTCATCCTACTGTGTTAGTTGAAGTTAGACGTGAACACCGTTGGATGACGGCTGACTCAGTGGTCTAGAGGTTAAGTGCTTTCGTGTGAAACCGATAGGTCCTGGGTTCCGATCTCGCGAAGCGAGATCGTCAGTGCGCACTGCTGAGGAGTTCAACAAAAAGTCGAAACAGCCGTCCAGTGTTTACAGGTTTTCCATGGTGGTCTAGTTTCGATTGACTCGTGATCTCAACTATTAAAATAAACAGTTATCACAAGTGATTGATCACTGGGTGGTGATCAATGTCATGTGTGTCAAGTCCTTATTAGTGCAGATCGAATGCTATCGACCAAGTTGCAATGTGGCCACTAGTCTAGGTGACTCGACACTGCATGCACTATTGTGAGATTAGATGGTGGTTGGAGGTAGTCAACAGGAAACCCTAGACTAGTGGCCACATTGCAACTTGTTCGATAGCACTCGATCTGCATTAAGAGAACTTGACACACATGACATCGATCACCACCCAGTGATCAATCAGTTGTGATTACATCTGTCCAACAGGGAGTCGGTCAAGGCCTCGATAGTATAGTGGCAACGTCTCTGACTGTGAAGCTGGGTGACACGGGATCGAATCCGTCAGTGAGCATCAATCCCCTCAAGATTACAGGCACACGTTGCTGACGAGTGCCAAGTAGCACGGAACTCGGGTGCAGGGTTTCTTGTCAACTACCTCCAAACACCATCTAATATAATTATTAACACATGTTTAGCAAACTTTAGTTTTCTAACATCAACGTCATCGGTCATTTAAGTAAGTTTGTGAAGTTTAGATAAATGTTCGAAACGCAATCACGATCATAATATTCAGAAGAATAAATACACAAATTATATGAATAAACAGAGTGAAGATTGATTTGTGTTTATTATTTTGGGAAGTAATAATTCAGAGATTATATGAAAGTAAAAAAATGAATGGAAAAATAAACAAATATGTAAACATAAATCATATTATATAAAAGATGAATATCAGAAGAATAAAAATAAAAGGTTTGGAACAGGGTTGAATAAAGACTAAAATTAACGAAGGTTATTTAGACAAATATCCAATCATCATAACAGGGAAAGATTAATCAAGCTTTCCTTTCGCATACATAGGTCAGGTCGGGAAGGTTTGGTAGCGATCGCCTCTGCAAAACGGAGTAAAATTGGTGTTTTTTGTCTGTTGGTTATTTTGAATACATCAACAGAAAAGCTTCTTTTCAGTTAAATCTAAGGATTATAGGACAGCCGTTTCGTGCATATCTGAGAATCCTCAATAGTGTATACGACTAACTGGTGTTCTGACCCATATCTGAAGATTGTTTAAACTAAATTATAATTAACATACCACTACTCTCGGTATATGCTGTGAAAGTTGAATTAAGTGTTTATTTCAAACATAGAGGATAGAAATACATTGACGTTTAATCAAGGGAAACACTACTTTTGCCAATTTTCTCTTTTAAAATTATTCAACATCATTTACTGTAACCCATTTAACAAAGAGAAGCTAACGCGGTCGATTTTCAATGACATGGTTTGTGTGAAAGATAATGATACTATACGTTTGCCCAGCGATTTCCTTGTAAAAAATAGAATGAATTAAACATTAGAACACTGCTCCGAAAACCTATAAACTTATATTCATAAATACTGAAAGTATAAGACACCTACCACCATAGACTGAAAACCACTGAAAGGGGATTAAACGGGAGTCCACTTTCATGTCGTGACCAAGGTTTGAACTGATAAATTCATAAAGAATATAAGCGTTGTTTAAATACTGATGATGATATATTTGTAATATCCCAATGATTAGAGAAAAAGATCCAATTTCTGACGTTTCACAACTTAGTGTAAGCCATTTATTCAGTTAATAAATTAACAAGTTCAAATGGACAAATTCAATATTAAGTACAAACAAAACCTACCTCATCCCGACGTTTCTCCATTCAAATTAAAGGGACTACTTGTGAGATATAATTATGTGTATGTGAGCGGCTATGAAAAATGTGACATTTGTCATGTGAAAAAGTAGAGCAAATTTAAAGGCAGTTATAGTATAAGAGTTGAACAGGTTAAGAGTTACCTTCCATTTTGGAAGCGTCATAAAAGCCATACAGGATCAGAACATTGAAACAGTTTATTATTGAACATTTGAATCAATTTTTTTTAAAAGTATATAACTACAAAAAAACGAAAACTTCAATTTTATTTTAACTTTTGTAAATTAAAACAGGGATCCAATCACAAGTAATGTCTACCCAAAAATCAAAGCTATTTCTGACATATGTGGTTTAACACAGGTTCATTGTGTTGTTTAATCCAATAATGCATTCGGTTAACTTTAGTATACACATAATGATATAGATCGATCAATTTCTATTTACAACAACCAGATTAACGCTATGATAATTCGAAGGCATAAAAAATCAATTATTTAACTGTGAAAATTAATGGCATTTATTTTGTAGTCTTGTAAATATAATAAACAAATCTGCCCATGTTCATTCGTACCGATAGTGAAGATGAGTAAGTAGTACAACCAGAAATTAGAAAAATCACCCACTACATGTTGATTATCAAATGATATTTTAACTGATACTAGTTAATATAGTAGATCATTCAACAATTATGCATTGATACAATGACTATCTAATTTATCGGAGATTGGTTTAATTTATAGGTTATATCGATTTAACTCAGAGTACCACTGACGAACACAGCCCACAAAGTAAACCAATCTCTATAAAACCCGCTTAAGCAAGCTCATAAGTGACTACAAGATATCCCTGAAGCTCTAGTAAGGACTCACAACTGGTAGAGTTCAGACATGTAGGGAGTGGAAATTGCTACCAGTGATACTGGATGATTGTCATGACATATTTCAAGTTGACTGAAGCTGCAATTGCACCACCGCACCCCAACTCATTGTTTCTAACGACTGAGTTCCATGCGAGATCTGGTGGGTTCAATCCCCGAATAGATCGTGAGTGAGCACCGCTGTAGTATGAAACAGCTGTCCAATGCGTCCTAGTTTTCAGTGATACTCATATTGAGATTAATTCATGACGAATACAAACTACAAATTACCCCAAAACTTTCGTTGAATAGAATAACTGGTAATTACATGACCAGGTAAACAGTGGTAATGAAAACAATTTGAATATGATAAGTGAACAGACACTGAAGATAAATAACAAGGATTTATCGTGTATTTTTCATATTGGCAACATTGAGTAATTCATATTTCCCATCGGAAATTACTGAGAACTGTAATAAAAGCAAATATAAGAAACAAAACTACATACGTGTACACACACACACACATTTCAATGACAAAAAAGACCAGTTAAGGCAAAATATAAACAAAAACAAGCGAAAAAACTGAGTAAAATTGCAAGGGTAAAATCGAGCAGTGTGGATAAGGAATTAAATGCTTAATGACTGAATGAGTTGATAAAACATGAAATAGGATCGCAAACACAATAAGTAAAGTTACTTTTTTTTGCAATGGATTAAATTGAGTATATGGATGAATGGGTGAATGTAGTGTTACATACTTTTCGAATAAAAGTCAGTTCGAAGATAGACGGACAAATTTCTATAGAAAAAAAACAGGAAAACAATAAATAAGGAAATATTAGGATATATATATATGAATAGTATAAACGAAGTTCCTTTGAATACTGATGATAATGTTCCTTGATACGAATTACAGGATTCCTGATCTTCTATGTACTCCACTTTTTCTCTCACGACAAAATTTCTTCCCAACTTTTAGTCCACTATGTGAGGATGGAGATAGACTGCCGGAAGGTGGCGGAGCACCACGTGTTTGATGTTTACGTCCTCCTCTGTGACGACGTTCCTTACACATTTGACCTATGAAAAAAAGAAGCCAGGAACTGAAAATACAACCGAAATGTATAGAATATTCTAATACAAATAATCTAAAACTGGTGTAGTCGTCTTCTCATAACTTATTTACTTACTTACTTACGCCTGTTACTCCCAATGGAGATTAGGTCGCCGACCAGCATTCTCCAACCCACTCTGTCCTGGGCCTTCTTTTCTAGTTCATAACTTATTTACTAAGTAGAAATTCGTGTACCCCCGGTTTTGAGACATTCTTTTGATTTGAAGGCAAGCGATGCTACCAGTTTCAGAATTTAAAGTAGGAGGAAGTGAGATTCAATCCAGTGGTTGGACATCGAGTACCATTAACTACCAAGTGTCATTCATTCATAATCTCTCGGTGTCAAGTGTATGTAACACAGTTTGAGATGGGAATGATACTTCAGTTATGATACTAAGATATGAATTATCAGCTTACTGAAGGAAACAAAACTTAGTAAACAGGACGAAGAAATTTCTTTTCAATTAGTTTTTCATCATGACTCTACAAATATATATGATTTACATCAACGAAATAATACTCATCAAGTGGTTACGTAATGTAATGATTACACAATGTATCGGTTACAAAATATATTGAGTAAATGGGAGAAAGAGGATTATAACAATCAAATTGTTCGGAAAATCAAACAATCGCTACATTGCGCGCGAGACAGGAGGTCCTGGGTTCGAGTCCCGTATGCTTCCAGGTTTTCCATGGTGATCTAGCTTAAATAAATTTATGAATTCAACTATTAGATTACTACAACCTTCATAAACACTCATTCTCGTAATACAAAAAGAACTAAGAGATTACTCTGAAAGGTCAGCATTATAGTATTATAGCAAGAATATGTAAAAATACAAAAGTGGAAGAAATTAGAAAATCGTTTGAATAATTCTGAAAGAAGGGATTTAGTGAAAATTCAACTAAAAGCTCACTATCACACTCATTGCCGAGAGAGTGGTTGTACAAACTTCTTTTGGATGCACAAGTTGGGTTTGTGAACACGAATTCTGATAGCTTCCGCAATATGGAACAGACAAATTCGTTAACCATGTGGTGGATGCGATGGAATATGGTGGCCAACCTTAACAGTCTTATTCAAGTCAATTTTATGTCCTGTATCCACCAAGTGAGCGAGAACAGAACTCTTAATGACTCTTACATGTCCTGTTGCCAAATGAAAAGATTTAATCCTTGGGTGAACAATGAATGTACATTTTTAATTTAACAACCAATTTTAAAGACAGCCTAACGGTCATATTATTTAATCACTACTAAGACCACTCCATAGAGGTATATTCTTGATGAAATTAGAAAACGATCCAACTACAGAAACCAATCGACTAGCATTTATTCTCGCTACACAGAACACATTTGTTTAAACTAGTGGCTGATACTTCAGTTTGATCGAAACTGAAGACTAGATAAATATATAATAAAAGTTAATAATCTATGAAAATATATCAGTCCTATAAGAAATCAGTCACAGCCAGAATACTTTAAGGGTAATGTCTTTGATTGTTAAATTGGGTGGTGAGTTGTGTCGAGGTAACAGTAGTATCATTTCGTTTAAAAATGACAATATGCCTTTTTAACAACCTGATCAGCTAATTAATTTAAAGAATTAATACTTAAAAAGTAGAAACTTGCCCTCAGGACAATCGCCATCACCACTGCATCGTGTACGCTAAAAGCAAACAGAAACAATGCAAAGAATAAACATTAGTTTTGAACAATATTTATTTAAGGACACTGAATTTGAAATTTTCTGAATGGAGAATATCCGTAAAGAGAAACCATATTAGCATACTTTTAATTAATATCACTTATAATGGTGTTCAGAATAAATGAAGATAGTCGTATAATGGACGCTGAAATAGGTTATTACGTAATATGATTGGATAGACAAATTTTCATTCTTAAGGAATAACATAAAAGTAAACAAAAGTGAATATTATATATTGTCAAGATATTTTAAAAATACACGCATGAAATCCAGTCTGAATTTTATGAACACAGTTCACAATACTATTCAGTCAATCAGCCAATACGTGACTTCGCACATTTTATTATTATTTATTTGAACACATAGATTTTGATACAAGGAGGCACATATGCGCCACACAAATCTCATTTGATTTGTGTGAGGGCTACGACACTGTCCGGGTGCCCAAACTGAAGCAGGTGATTTTCTTAGAGAGCCACACTCAGAGCCTTCGACCACAAGGTCTAATCAACAAGGCAATGGAGCATCGTAGGGGAATGCAGTCCAATGGTAGCCAGTGACCAACAATTGGTTCATACGCCATTTGTTCCCTCAGCACACTGGAGTCCATGTGCACCATTGGTTTGGAATCAGGGTTTTCCAACTCCTCTAGGTGGACTGTCCGTGTCCATCAACTTGGTTAAAGTGCCAGGCATTTGCTTTTCGTCCTCTCAATTTCGTAAACAACAGTAATGCCGTAAGAAGACAGTGAGTAAGACTTTCCTGGCAGAGGCTATATATGCGTGGTTATGTGAGAGCATTTCGAGAGGGAGAGCTGACTCTCCCCACTCTCGGCCGTACCAGGGCATTTAGTGGCAGGACTTGGCACAAAGGTGTATCGGCTAAAAATGTCAGTTGAGTTTGCATCATCACGACAAGAGAAGAATTAAGATGAGAAAAAAACCAATAAAGGACAAACACCAATCACATTAGGAAATTAAACACTGAAACGACAATTCGGAAAGAGCGAATAAAATCGAGAAATAGGATGTACAATACAACGATTAAGAACAGATCAAAAATCAATACCTCTGTGCCACTATGAATAATTTCAAAGACGAAGGTGTTCAACGATAGATTATCGGGTGGACCCTAAACAACTTGTTATTTAATTTTCAACGATAATAAAGTACAGTTAACTGATGAAGTAATTTTTATCTACACATAACGCTTACATGTTTTTTTCCACGTCTATGTGGCCGTCTCCAATTAGCACCACCTGAACAATAAACAAAATGGAATACAAAACTATTATTATTACCATTAGTGGTGGGATTTTTTTATAAAACTATCAAATCTCAAACTTTATGCAGAATGCAACAACTAGAATAAGATAATTGGAAATTACTAGGAGAATTTTATCTCTAATAACTGTTGACACTTTTCTACATAATACACATTATCCAAATTCAATTGGTATTTCTCTGTAGAAAATCTTATTTATTTATTTTAACACCTAGGTATTGGTACAAGGAGGCACCAAATACATACGCGCCACACAAATCTCATTCGATATGTATGAGGGCTGTGATACTGTCCGGGTGCCCGAACCGAAGCAGGTGTAGAAAATCTATTTAATTATTGTTTATCCGGTTCAATTAACACGTTGAAACAACTTTTTTCTCTTACAAAAACGCCCAAAATATTTTCTTCCATGCTGTTATATTGTGATTATCTTTTGTGAAAGATTTTTGGAGGTGTAACTGTAAATGATATTCATCCCGTAAATTCATGTATTTACATTTTAATATCAACGACGAAATCTGGATGAAAAGGAAACTATAACGATTAGAGGGATTTTGTTCAATATGTCGGAAAATTCAAAAAAGCCCAAATGATGTTATTAAATAATTCATTAGATGTGCTATTTTCATGACCATACTGAATAAAATTAACCCTATATATTTTTCATATAAAATCAAGCTTATGTGGGACTACATAACTATGATTCCTTATAGTATAACTGGTCTGTGTGCACTTAGAAACAGTGCATAGAGGGGAACCACGATTCTTAACGCGATGTAAAATGAGTCCTTTGACAGGTTGCCAACGTTAAACTGTGGTTTTGGCCAGTCTATTGTAAGAACATTGATACGCTTAACAACGTGGGTAAACCTACTGAAGTAAATTTATATTAACATTCTTAGTAGTCATAATTCATAAGCAGTGATTATCTTAATTCCCTGGTTCACCACTTTCCATTGAAGCCGTCTGTTTATTCTATTTCCAATTAAAGCCCCCAAGTGCCCTGGTATGGCCGAGAGCGGGGTGGGTCCGCTCTCCCTCTCGAAATACTCTCACAAGGCCACGTGTATACAGCCTCTGCCAGAGAAGTCCTACTCACCGCCTTCTCGTGGCATTACTGTTGTTTACGAAAATGAGAGGACGAAGAGCGAATGTTCGGCGCTTTAACCGGACCCCAAACCAAATCAATGTTGCGCATAGGCTCCAGTATCCTGAGGGAACAAATCGTTGGTCACCGGCTACCATGGGACTGCATCTCCTTATGATGCTCGATTGCCTTGTGGGTTAGACCTTTAGTCCAAAGGCTCGGGGTGTGGCACCCTAAGATAACCACCTGCTTCGGTTTGGGCACCCGGGCAGTATCACAGCCCACACGCAAATGATGAACTTCCTATATCTGTGGAAACTACTTTTCTCGCTTCGAATAACAATCAAATGATTCAAATTATTATCGATACTATTATTATTATTATTATTATTATTATTTACTACGTCAATATTCACCCTCTTTTATTCCTACTCTGTCCATACTTATTTTTTCGACTTATACAGCAGCTCGTCTTTGGTGGAAATCCGACTCTATCTAAACGTTCTCGAGTCACTGTCCGGTTGAAAATTGTATGTTACCACCGAATATGAGTACTGAAGCAGTTTTTCTGAAACCACGTGCACCATTCAAACTGGGTGCCTTCAACGTTCGCACACTTATGCAGGTTGGACAACAGATAGGGCTAGCTATGTCTTTAGAAAGTCTTCATATCGATGTCTGCTGTCTATCCGAGACCCGTATTGAAGACTCTGGTGAAGTACTACAAATTCGCTCTTCATCTGTCGCTTCAAAAAGCTTGTTTTACGTGCGCTTATCCGGAACCCTGTTGCATATTCGTCTGGTCTTGCTGACGTTGGTGTCGAATTGAGCGCTAAAGCTGAGGCAGCACTGATCGATTGGATCCCCATTAACAGTTGATTATGTGATGTTGCATTAGAGAGTTCCATCAAAGTGGGAAGAAATCGGCGTGAGAAACGATGTCTTTTCGTCATCTCCGCCTATGCCCCGACAGATTGCAGCCCGGATGCAATCAAGGATGAATTCTACCACCAGTTATCAGTTCTTCTCCAGAAAGTGCGTTCGACAGATATTGTAGTACTAGCCTAGACTTGAATGCTCAGGTCGGGCGTCTAGGCACAGAAGAGAGTCGTTTAGGTGGCCGATGGGGACTTGTTGGTCGCAGGACAGATAACGGGGACCGTCTACTGCAACTGTGCACAGACCACAACCTGTTTCTGGCTAGCACTGACTCTCGGCACAGTCATCGCTGATGTGCCACCTGGCGTCCTCCCTCTGCATCTCAAGCCTGGACTCAGATTGATCACATCGCGATCAGCTACCGCTGGCGTGGTTGTGTACAAGACTGCCGCTCCTTTTGGAGTACCTATCTGGACTCTGACCATGCCTTGGTCTGCGCCAATCTTGCCTTACTTTACAGTGGACAACGAAGTGACCACCACCAAAAGATTGATGTTAGCAAGCTGGTTGCAACTTCTGTTGCAAGTAAGTATCGAACCGAGCTAGCCTCTAGGCTAGCTACCACTCCACCGAAAAGTATAGATGAGCATTGGTTGCAATTGCATGACGCCATGAAAATGGCGGGTACAGTCAGTTGTGGGTTCGTGAAACGTCCCGCTTATAAGCATTGGGTTTCTTCAGGCTCCTTACAACTCATCGAAGCCCGTCGGTCTACTCCGGGTGACCGTCAATTTGACCACGAACGAAGGATGTAACGTAATGAAATTGGGCAAAGCTTGCGTAAGGACCGAGAAGCCTGGTGGTCGGAGCGTGCTAATGAGCTGGAAGCAGCAGCTGCATCTGATAACTACCAGAAGCTCTCCCAACTCATCCAAGCCACTGGTAGCAAGATATCTGGTGTAAGCAGAACAATCTGTGAGGAAGATGGGATGCCAATCACTAACATCCATCGACGTCTTGGACGATGGGCAGAATTCTTCGAAGGGCAGTTCAACTGGCCTGCTACTCCGGCAACATCGGTCAGACTGTCCTGCCCCCCTTGGCCGGTGACGACTGATCCACCAAATGAGGCGGAAGTCGGCAAGGAACTCCAACTCTTGAAGCGCTACAAATCACCTGGCCCAGATGACTTACCTCCGGCTCTTTTTAAAGATGGTGGTGACTTTCTGACTAAGGAACTGACGACGTTGTTTACAAAGGTCTGGGAGCTCGAGAGTTTACCAACGTCATGGAATGAATCGATAGTTGTCCCTATTTTTAAAAAGGATTCACGTTGTTCCTGTAATAACTATCGGGGGATAAGTCTACTTCCGATTGCGTCCAAGCTATTGGCTTCCGTCATACCTTGTACGTTGTTCAAAACCCGAGAAAGATTGACTCGCGAGAAGACTGGGATTCGTTCTGGTCGAGGATGTATTGATCATATCTTCACTTTCCTCCAAATGTTAGAACACCGTCATGCTTATCAAAGGCCAACAATCGTAGTGTTTCTTGACACCAGGGCTGCCTTCGATTCGTTGTATATGACTGTTCTCTGGGATTGTCTACTGAAGGGTGTGCCTGAGAAGTTTATTCACACCTTAAATGCCCTATATACAAACACCTCAGGTAGAGTGAGGGCATACAACCACATTTCTCCATTGTTCCATTCAAGCAGTGGGGTTAGGCAGGGTTGCCCAATCTCACAATTCCTCTTCAACTTTGCCATCGATGACATTCTGGAAACAACCCTGAGGGATGTAAGTAATGGCGGTGTGGATCTGTTGCCTGGAGAAAGACTTCTCGACATTGAGTATGGAGATGATATTGTCTCACTGTGTGATAATGCCCAAGCCATGCAATCCGCACTTAATCAGTTGGCAATCAATGTACGTAGGTACGGTATGTGCTTTGCACATTCGAAGTGCAAAGTACTTCTACAAGACTGGCACGCTTCTGATCCTGTACTCACCTTGGATGGTGAGCAGATAGAAGTAGTCGAGAAGTTCGTGTATCTAGGTAGCTGCATAAGTGCTGAGATCAATGCATGTATAGTGAAAGCCAGAGCGGATTATATCAATCTGGGCCATCTTTGGCACCCTCGTGATGTCAGTCTGGCTGTAAAAGGTCGGATCTACAACGCGTCGGTGAGAACAGTTCTGCTCTATGCTTATGAAACCGGGCCTCTCCAAGTTGAAGATGTTAGACGACTCTCTGTGTTTGATCATCGTTGTCTCCGAAGGATTGCTCACATCCAGTGGCAACACCATGTTAGTAGTGCAGAGGTTCGGTATCGTGTGTTCCGGCGCAGAGACGATAATGCAATTGGTGTTACCATCTTGAAACATCGACTTCGGTGGCTTGAACATGTTCTACGAATGTCAGCCCAGAGAATTCCACGTCGTGCATTATTTGCCGACTCTGGGACTGGTTGGAAAAGGCGGAGCGGTGGTCAGTGTATGAAAGAAAGCTGAAAAGGGCTGGCTTCTGTTGGTCCTTCACGACTCCCTGACTGGGGTCCGAGAGATGGTGCAACACAGTGGCTAGAGACGTTATCAGATATGGCTAAGAATAGACGCCAGTGGCGATCCTGCTGTAACCTTCTTTTACTGTCTTATTAAAAAGTGATTTTATCTTCCTTAACTAAGAGATTTCTTCTGATTGTATCTTTCCGTTCCCCCATTATTACTATTATTATTACTCCACTACCCTACACCAATCTCTTCGTTATCGTTCTCTTTTTTTGCACTCCTTGCATTTTTTCCCTTCACTTTAGATTCTCATTGTTTTGTGTGGCGCATATATATTTGGCTCATTCTTGTACCAATATTTATGTGTTCGAATAAATAAATAATAGTTTCCTACAGATATGCTCTTATGAATAACAACTTTACTTGACTTTCACGGAGTTGGTCCTTTTTTCGAAGATTTTCAAACTGCCTTAAAATAGTATCCAGACGGCATAGGTTTGTTTGGTCAAAAGTCGGCTAAAGGTTTTGGGCGGATTTTGAGTGACCAAGCGTTTCTTGGAAAAAGACTGGATTCATTCAGGAGTCATCTGCATACATGACTTGTTTAATTATAGAATGACGTAATAAGATTCTAATACCTGATGGATTAGTGAAATCTTAAGTATACAAAACGGTATCATCTGTATAACGAAATATAATTTTATGATTTCAACATATCCTATGCCTTTTATACAGTAATTATTGAGAGAACTTCGAGAGGCCTTATATATATGGAATTACTTTGAATAGGTTGGTAAACTGATGATTATCCAACTGGAAAAAGTTTAATTTAAATAAATCTGTTCATAAAATAAACTTAGTTATAAGCATCTAAAAAAATACTAGTCGGTAATTTACCTTCAGGACATTGGCCTGGTTGTTCACAATTTCGGTTCTGCGAGGAAACATAAAAATGTAGAAATAATATAATGTATAAACAATTTTAAATAGATAATTGATAAAACGGTACTTCCTAAGGTGGTTTTTATATGGAGTTTGCACTATTTGAAAGGTATTTTTATTATGAACTAGGATCAATTGTACAACGGAAATCATTAACGACGAGGACGGTCTCGACAACATACATCAGATTGAGCTTAGGACAGATATTACAGGGAACACGATACTACTCAAACAACTGAGTCAGAATTTAACTGCTCATATTTTTAACTTCAGTCAATATGTGCTGCAGTAGGATTTTCAGCTAACATTAATGATGACTTGTTGAATTACGTTTGATATGGTTAACTACGTATATTACGAAATCCAGCTAAAACTTTGAGAAACCCATTTTGAAGAAAACTGATAGCGAGCTGAAAATAATTTATTAACAAATACGATAGTCATCCCAGCAAAAGTTGAAGGCAGTTTCATTAACGTGCCTTTGGTATATAATGTTGAATGTGGACAACTGTAATTCAGAATAACATATTGTAATAATTTAAATCTGGGCCATATTTAAAGAAAAGTAGTTTTTCGCAATAAAACGGAAAACAGTAACATTTAACAATCACAAATAAGGATAAGATAAACAACTACATTATTGTTGAGAAAATACTAGAAATATTAGTTGGTTAATGAAACTATGATCTGCTATTGTGTATCGGGGTTGTTGCAACTCACAATAGCACAGAGATTTAGACGGGAAAAAAATCAACAGGATAAAAAACATAAGAGATTCGAAATAGGAAATAGGGCCGTATGTCGCCAAGTAGAACCTGATATGTGTGTACAACGGTTCAAGTTTCCACATCCCATTAGCATAACGAGATGAAAGTGTTAGGGTAAATTTCAGAGTAGCAGACATAGTAATAGTTTCAGAGGTAATAGAAAAAAATATCCACCTTGCAAACAATTTAAAAAATATATAAATTACGGCAATTTAAAAAAATATAGGAAATTCAGATGCTTAGATTTTGGAGGAAGACGAAGAATGGATGCAACTATGCCATTGCAAACGAATATATTCGGGAAAATGTGACGACGATCGAGTAATGAAACCTATGAAATAAACGCAATATTTGGCAAACGAATGAAAAGCAGAAACAGTAAAAGTATTACAACGGGAAAATCAATAACAGAGAGGGGGAAATGGTCACGATAATTAAAGTTCAGAAATTTGTCCCAAAATGCTTTGAATATGGGATAGAAATACAAAAGATCAGAACCAAATAAAACATTTTTGGTGAGTGTTTCTTTCAGTCGTCACTCGCACATACATTTTTGAAATACTGTAGGGAAAAACTAAGCTCATATTTTTAAAAATGTAATCTGTGTGATATTGAATAAGGTTTGAGAAAGGTCGAGCTTCAGGAACTATTCTACAGAGAATTACTGTTAATATTTCTATTGTATACTTAATATGTGCTTGGAATGTTTATTATATTCCCCTACATGAAAGCTTCGGTTTGATCCAAAAACCCTTGTTTCACTCGTCATTCCAAATCTAGAATGACGATCCCCCAATGCCCTGGTACAGCCGAGAGTGGGGAGAGTCAGCTCTCCCTCTCGAAATGCTCTCACATAACCATGCATATATAGCCTCTGCCAGGAAAGTCTTACTCACTGTCTTCTTACGGCATTACTGTTGTTTACGAAATTGAGAGGACGAAAAGCAGATGCCTGGCACTTTAACCAAGTTGATGGACACGGACAGTCCACCTAGAGGAATTGGAAAACCCTGATTCCAAACCAATGGTGCACATGGACTCCAGTGTGCTGAGGGAACAAATGGCGTATGAACCAATTGTTGGTCACTGGCTACCATTGGACTGCATCCCCCTACGATGCTCCATTGCTTTGTTGATTAGACCTTGTGGTCGAAGGCTCTGAGTGTGGCCACCTAAGAAAACTACCCGGAAGGTATCTGCTTACTATATTTGTCTACTACTCGGGAACAGCTCGCGCGACAACAAGCATTAAGATTCTCCAGACATTAGATACAGTTGCTGAGTCACTGGTTAGGAGAAGGTAGTAGTTTTATTAGGTAGAGAAACCACCAGTCCCATAGAAAATATAGGCGAATAAGTCAATAATTGGACTAGATAAAATAAATCCTTCCATAATAAGTGGACATTCACACAACATCTAATACAATTTAAGAATTTGCCCTTTTTGAAGATACAACAATCCCTCGCACAGTTAGAACGACTTAATCTCCTAGGAATTTCGATAAGACAATACCGTCAATTTACCCGTTTGTGAATCACCAATCACAATACAGAAATAACTCACCAAGTACCTCTTTGTGCATCTAATTTCGAGGTAATGCTTTTAGTGTAAGGACTAGGAATACTAGCTAGTTTTTTAAAGCTTAAGATATTTTTAACTAGTCAATGTTAATTACACAAAAGTAAGTAAATCAACAACCCCTGCATATATAAACTATATAATGAGTGAAAAGAATTAGTTGGAAACACCCATAATTGCGCCTCAACAGCTGAACAGAAAAGCGTTATTGGAGTATGATGAAACGAATGGTACAGGAAAATGTTAAACAAATTCGACTTGAAACTCACATGTTTTCTGCGACGCCTACGTGACCGTCTTTCACCAGGTAATGAATCATCTATTGGTTAATCAACAGGATAAAATTTAACATAAGTTAGTGTTAAAATATAATAATATGATGAAATTCACTAGCCAAGTAGATGGTTATGAATCCGGTTAGTGATATTATCGAAGCAGGTGAAGTAGGATTCAAACCAACAGCTTATCATTTACAAGTGTTTTAACCAACAAGCCACATATTTATGGTCAATTAGTGTGTGTAGTGTGAAATCACAACATCAAAGACAAACAAACAGCAAAATTCACACAAAGCTTATACCGAAAAAAGTGAGTAGTATATCGAACAGCAATTTAAAAGGAATAAATAAATTGCAAAAAACGATAAAACAAAATGTGGAAAACAAATTAGCTCACACCAACTGCAAATAAAATTACCCATAAAATACTGATAATCCTCTACAGCCTTTCGTCTTAACTACATAGAAAAAAAAAGTTTTAACCCCGTTTGTAGATGGAAACTTAGCGGTTGGAAGTGTTAGACTCTTAATGGCACAGCCTTTTACAGAATCATTAAGTCTTCGTTCGCATCTACAACTTGGCAGAATTACTACAAGGCCAAGAGCATTAAAAACCGTTTTATAATCACCACTGCAAACCAACTACTAGACATCAGCCTGACATTCAGTACCAACTCTAATGAATGAATAGTACATAGTTTATTTTTGCCAGAAGGTGCACAAAATTCACTGAGAAATCCATTTGTTTGACAGAAAATAACCAACTTACTTCATGAATGAAATAAATAAATAAATGCTAGACAGTAAGGAAAATAGTACGTGAATGTAACAATAACTGGTCTATGGAAAATAATTTCTAAACTTATTAATAATTTATAATGAAATATATTTATAAAATAATGAACCAGAACTGCGATTTAAATGATTAACTTGAGGATTAGGAGACTGATTTTCTAATGAATGAGATAAATTAACTACTATCAAATTTCATCTGAGTACTGAAAAGTAAGTTTTGTAGGCAAAAAACAGGACATTGATTCCCACATTTCTCAAATACAAACATTGAGAGTTTGTTAATTAAAGTCTTGCTACAAGGCTACTTTTTACAGATACATTTTTTACTTCCTTTTTATTCGATGGTACTTACTATCAGACGGCACTAAAAGTCTTAAGTGCTAATCAATGGTCTATTTAAATAACTGAAATTCCACTCGGTATTGTTTTTTTTTTTCAAATGATAATGCTTAGACTTAATATCAACCGAATTTTAGTTCTGTCTTGACTACTAAACATTGAACTACGGTGGCATGGAACCGAAAATGTATTCAACATGACAGTTTGACAGTGACCATAACTGGTGTTCAGCTCGTATGGGCAGCTTACTAAAAGGTTTCAGCGAAATCAATCCTAAGCATAACACTGACTGTATTCTGAAACCTAAATAATCAACGTGCCAAAATTAACCATGCCCCAACTAACTGTTCTACCGAAACAAAAAAACTGTCCTCGTGGATTATCAACGTATGTATGCACAGAAATAACCAGGTTTAATTTGGAAGCTCAAAACGCAAAACAGATTATTCTAACCACATAGTATTCCCCAGTATACGTTTGGTTGGGCCTTTTTATAATTTAATGATTTCAATCCTATGTAACCCAGACCGCTTTGATGATGTGACATAGTTAACAAAAAGTAACTGAAAAACTAGGGCTGTTATATAAAAATAGCCTACTTTTATCAGATTCAAGCCTGTTACCAGACTGGCGTCCTCGAAAATGTGATCTGTTATCCTCTATCAGTTGACTGTCAAAGCTAAAGAGATTAAAGGATAATAAATTAAATGTCAAAAATAACCATAATTAATTTTGATTCCTATTTTTAAGACAATCTACTCGGTAGATCATCTCAATTATACTTAGAATTCTACGCACCGCTCCCTAAATGCCCTGGTACGGCCGAGGGTGGGGGACCACTCTCCCTCCTCAAATCATCGTATGGCCACCGGCATACAGTCACTGTCAGGGAAACCCTACTAGTTACCTAGCGGTGGGGGTGTTGTTCACGAAATTAAGAGAAAGAAAAATGAATGACCGGAGCTTAAACCGGGCTAGTGAGTATATAGGATCTACATTGGGAGGTTGGATAAACCTTATCCGAAACCAGTGGTCCATATGCGTCCCAGGATCCTGAGGGAACATATAGGATATGTACCTAATCTTGGTCACCAGTTACCATAGGACCGCTTCTACTAACGTTGCTGTCGTAATGTCGGTTGCTATGCCCGCCCATATAGCTTATTCTAGCCTCTGGACAGATCAGTCTATTCATTCTTTCCTAGGCACATTTTACCGTCACTTATTCACTTACCAACCTTGACTGATTCTATGTGAGCGTATGTGTGTGCATTTCTTATATTAGTCATTACGCCGGGCCCATTATCTGACCTCAGGTATATCGTTTGCTGCTTGCTATCGAAATATACATATCGCCAATCCTCGTATATAATCATCGACTTAGATCGCGATGTGGTGAATGATGGAATTAAATAAATACGAGAATGGATTTTTGAATACGTACAATCGTTGATCTGAAAGCGAAGCAAAACGAAGTGATGTAAAATGTGATCGATAAACGAACTCACCAATGATAAAGTAAAACGCCCACCACCACATTAACTTTCATTGACCTTGTAAGACCATATCTTGTTTATTCACCAATCACAATTTTATGTTCATTATAAAACAATATTTGCCTTGTTGACTCATTTTTCCTATACTCTAGTTACTGTTCGGTATGTTGCTTATGTCTCTGTTTTTCTCCGTGTTAATAGACTGTACTATTTATTTTGTATACTAACGGTGTTAATTTATGTTTTAAAAACAGATAAAGTTTATCAAGCCAAATAGCTTACTTGTTCTGACTTTGGTTAAACCAAGACTCTGTGTTCGACAGTCTAAAGAATAGCTTAGAGTTACACCTGTAGGAAAGTCGTTGTCTTGTAAAAACTAACGATGGGAAAATTCTAATAGAAAGTGACATGTAACTATAAAGTTTTAGTAGTACAAATGAGAACGTAATTCCTGGATGTGCCGGAACTGGTACTGGAATATAAGTTAGTCAAGGATAGACTTGATATGAATGTAAATTCATTCAAAATGTCATGGCTTAATTCAGCAGAGGAAATATCCTGGAATATGACCTATACAAATGTGATACACAATTCCCAATGTGTGAAACACTACAAGCTAATGAGATCTATTTGGCAGGATTGGTAGATACGTCCATAACCCGGGTAGACAGAACTCCAGTCAACAATACCATCTCCAGAATTTGTTTTTAGCCTTTTCAAACATATTGATCATTAGTAACAGTTCCTTAAAAGTCAACATAAAATCAACTAGATACACTAATATGACTAACCATATAAAGTATGTCTTAATAATAAACGTAAAGTGGTTTTATTAACAGAAAAAAACGGCATTCAAAAGTCGTAAATTTAACTTACGAATCATTTTCTTCAAACTCGTGTTTTTGTATTGATGTAGGCACCGATGAAACCAAGATCACTATGCATAACAAAACCAAAGGGGCCTGAAGCCAAAGACCCATTCTGAAATGAAATAACTTTCCGTTAGCCCATGAAAAGTAGGTAGTTGGGATATCGTCGAATGACTTGTCCAAGTAAATGAGTCGAAGATTGTGCCTTCAGGAATTCCAGACGGAAATAGGATAGCATTCTACTTTGCCAGGTTAGTGCGAAAAGTCACTAAACAAATTACTCAACTAACAGGCAACCCAACCAGACCGAAACCGTAAAGTAAATAAAATGCTAATAGGTTACACGGTCATGACGCACACATAGGACTAGTTATCAAGAACATTGTACAACTTTCATTCAGATACACAGAAGTCAACTTTACATTCCTCAAAGAAATATCGAGGTAACAACAAAAGATGATGACGAACACATAGTACTATTACCGATTTTGACTAAGTGCTTTAATGAAATCTCAAGTAGATTTCTACACCCATCCTAAGTTTGAAAAAGTTCATAAGGGAGCTAGGGAGAGTTGGTCTACGAACATTACTAAATTCTACTAATCAGAAACATTTTATGGTTGACCCAAAGTGAAGTGTATATTTCATTTTAGCGTATTCCATAAACTTGCAACAGACCAAGCACCATCCCATGCATTTAAGCTAATGGAAACGCTTACTTATTCAAGAGGTTTCTCAAACCAGTGTTTTGAAAACCTTATTTGAAGTGGTATAACATGTTGCTAGCGAAAAAAGTAGTCTGACGCCATTTGTGTTTAATTTGCTGACTAAGAATCCGTAAAGGAAATTCAGCTTAGAACACTGACCAGTAGTTTGCAGAAGAGTCGCAAGATTTAGATCATGATTTTTAATCGATGTAGACTTTGTTTTTGGAATCATATAACCGGCTTTTTCAAATAAAAGATTTACTGTAATGTCTAATGTACCTTGACTCAACATAAAAGTCCTGATCACATAAACAGATAGTTAATCCATGTAAAGGTTTTTCTAATTTAAGAATTCTTTTTACACATAATGGTTGAGTTACAATTAGGCCTAGAAAACACAATCAGTTCATAACGAAACCCCATCAATAACCAGCTACCACCCTACAGGACAATCAGTCACCTCCACACCGCAGCTCCAACCCTCAAAAACCGTCACACTCAATGATGAATAAGGTCCATGGAGCACATAATTTTTACTTTACGACTCCAGACTTGATTTCACTAACAACATACATATTCGAAAATAAAAACAAATGATAATTACTACCTTAATAAATGCGGCGACTAATAAATAGGAGAATAGAAATCCACACTTGATGACATTCAAAGAATTCTAAGTTCGTTCAGCCTGTTAAAACATACGGTATGTGTCACTATGAATCAGGATCGGTGTCAGTATAATTCTGATTGGTCTTTCAAACAATCGATTGTCTAACTTGTACAATGGCCAATCAACAGCCAGTGAGCGATAAACTGACACATAATCCCACTTCTTGAATGTTGTTTGCTATTCTATAGGAACAAGTCCAAGTGGTTTGGCCCATTAAGAACGTGTGTTTGGTGAATATGTATGCAAAAAGATGTTCTGAGGTCTGACTTTTAATGGCGTGAACATGTGATAGGCTAACAGCTTCGCAAAATCCATGTTAGCGCTGCTGCCTAAGCCATTGGTAGTGTACCTAAAAGAGCTCTCAAACACTATGTAGGTGATTGAGCTTACGAGAAACATATGAGCGAACAACATTGTTTCTAACGCGATCATCAAGCTCTAATATGACATGAATATTTATAGGAAAATACTAGACCAATCATATAGATATGTGTGATGACGATCTAATTGGGAACAATATTGTTCGCTTATTTTCATTATGGGAATCTCTAATACTTTAACGTTTCTGTCAATTTCCCCAAATATTCATGTAGAAATTTTGCCTTCGTCTGCAGCAAAAAAACTGTCAACATTCAACCAGGTCTCCTAATTCAACAATATGATGAGTAGTATATCAGCAGCTTATGCGCGTTTAGAAATGTAGCGAAGTTATCTCAAACTGATAAATCTGTTTAAATCAGTCTATAGATTCGGTACTCATGATTTATACAGCTTTCAACCTCATTATTTCCTTGGAAAAACACAGATCAGATGACCAGGTGGACAGTTGAAATTATTTGAATTTTTCTCTGAGATTATCCCGAGTTTAGTTTTTATATCTAATTAGTTGTGCTCCTACTTCGGATTAGTATTCTTTCAATTGTTTATTCGGTTTCACGCAAATGCATTGATTCCTTTGACATTTTAGTCAATTCCTATGAATTGTTGCATAATCATATAACCTTGTTGGAAATTCGAAATTTACTCTGTCCATCACAATAGTATTGATTCCCTTAGTCAAATATATAATTTAGCGTTAGGAATTCAGTGTGTTATCACTGATATGCATCTATTAAAATATTTCTCAACTATGGGATCTTCGCTAACCTTGTGTTGTCTCACTATATTCAGATTTGAACATTCAACATAACTCCTGATAGATTTATATTATTATTTCTTTTGTTCCTTTCAGTTTTTTTATTTGAAATCTTGCGCGGTACAATGTCATTTTTTCTGTTTGTCTCCTTACTTAGCAGTCTGACGAACGGCAGTGTGCGAGTGCCCAAGTTTTTGGAAAATATTCTAGGTTAGTCCGTCTTTGGAGTCAGATCTAGTGAACAGAATCCTTAATAACTTTGAAGAATTGCAACAGACACCAGAGAATCCTATTTAGCTGGTACAAACGTACGGTCGTGCTTTAAATGGTATGCCAAACTCTCACTAGTGTCGGGTAGAAACAGGTGTCTACCTCAGTACAATGGAAGATGGTCGCGCGATTTCGTGGATTGGTTGAAGTTAGACATTAGCACCATTGGATACCGGCTCAGTGGTCCAGTAGGTTAAGCGTTCGCGCTCGAGACTGGAGGCCCTCGGTTCGAATCCCGCGAGCAGGATCGTGGATGCGCACTGCCGAGGGGTCCCACAATAGGACTAAACAGTCGTCCAGTGCTTCCAGGTTTTCAATGGTGGTCTAACATCAACCGGTTCATGATCTCAATCAAAAAAATCTCAATAACTGTCTAGACACATACTCAAATTACCATGTAGTAGAATTAGTGACTAGATATTACCAGCTGAAATCTAACTAAACAGACCAATAAAACATCAAGCCTGATCAATTTTGTGAAACTATTTGTTTTAGTGGTTGAAAGAAGCGAAGTTATCTGTTTGAAAATTGTTTTTTGAAGTTTTGCTCTTAGACTATTTATTTCCTGCTTAAAATCGTGCTACTCGTCAAGAGTAGGTAGTTCAATTTATTGTTGTAACGAGTTATACTCCACAGATTTTATCATGTACATTCATCTTTCTACCTCAATTAAGTACTTTTATCACCCTTACTTATCATTTTATTCCTCCTTCAATTCCAATAGATGTTTCTACCAAACATTTTCCTCCTGGATCCAACTCTTCTAAAAAACAACTCACTTTTCATGTTGTTTGTGACTTTAAAGTGTAGCCAACACCTAAAGGCCTCGCGATTCAAGGTTTTTAAATTCATAATGTTCATTCTGACATTTACTGCAGCACTAGATAGTTTACATCTTTTGATTTTAGAGATTAGCGTAAACCTTATCTCTTGGCTAAATTTCACTTGAGAGCCGCCTACTTGGAATAGAGGATATTCGGCTTGATTAGCACAGTGATCCACTGTAATTTCATCGAACTTGAAAAATCATCTTATTTATTAACCCAATACAGTTGGCTAGTGTCCAGAAGATAACCACAAACAGCTGTTAGGAATGTTGCATGGTATTAGTTAGAATCGATTGCACTGGTTCAAGTGTATGCTCTCTCTTGGTTTTGAGTAACAGTAATTCTGCTTGCGTGTCTTTGTCTTTTCGAAGCATATTTTCAATACCCAGTCTACCGCATAAACATCGCTTCTACATTATTTTGACCATTTTACCACTGATCTTCCAAACTTCTTGTCGTGCTAAAGTAGTATAGAAACTTAAGTTAAAACACAAACCTGTTCCATACCCCATGTTGATAATGATAGACTGACCGTTTGACGTACAAACCATAGTTGACAACAGCATCTAGTACATTAATGTCACCTAATATTAGTTGGACGAATAAATGTTTCTTGAGAAACGGACATCATACGGTCAGTCATCTGCAACGTAGGACCAAACACATATATGCATTGGTCCGAGTTGCTCTACCTCAGCACAACAAGATGAACACCAAATTCATAGAAGCAGTTACTTCAATGGTAGTACCATATAAAAAAGAATGTGTATAAGGATATGATACAGAGAGAACCAGTTCGTAGAAAAAAACGTATATAGTACTTTTAATCTCATTGTTTAATGAGAAAAGTGTATACACCTACGCCATTATGGTCGATTCTAAGCCATGTTGCCTAGTCTCCAACCATCATACAATTAAGTTAGAAATTCGAAGGAACAAACACTACAACGGATCAAAATTAACAACAGTAGTATTTCAGGTAAACAAAACAGAACACGTTGACTATCTGAATTTGATTATTCAGACTAAGTGTAAAGATCTTTGAGATCACTTGTTGTAGACGTCAAATAAATTTGTTTTGAAAATTATGTATATACGTATGGTACTGCTCAAAACCTTACGACTCGGCGTAGCCACAATAATAATGAGAGTTAAGAACTTACTAAAGAAAATCCACAGATACTGCACAAAAACGCAGTTAACGCTACAAAATGCTTAAGATTGAGAGGGTAATAAGAATTGAATACATTCGTCCAAATGTTTCTGATTTCCAACCAACTCACGCAAAGTTTGCTATCTGTATTTAGGACTCATCAGTTGCCTTGCCAAGCCTAATGCTGCATTAAGGGTTAAGAATTATACAAAATCATACACTTACAAACACACTCGATAAAGCTTCACAACTCTACCAAGTGTCCTTTGGAAACGTCTTATCTGGAAGCGGTTTGTTATGCAACTTTCACCTAAATAACTAGTTGACTTTCAAGCATCCTATAATGGATCTAACTATAAATGTCGATGCAAGGGAAATATCTAGATTTATTTAGGTCGGTGTTTTGGTAAGGACCGAACATCAAAATGATTAGTTATATTCAATAATCCACAATATATTGCAGTATATTACCATTGGTTACTTAGTGTGACCTTTACTCTCTCTTGACTGACCAGTCGTCAACTAACAAGTAGCATTCATACTATTACGACTGAGAATCTTGTGTTTCTATTTTGTAAGTGATATTCATCAGGAAAAAAGACTAGATAGCGAGTAGACAGATGTTACGCCCTAGTATGGGACTGTTCTGGAGTAGGCATCTACGACTCCATCATGGCTCGACCCCACAAAACCCATTCGTCTAAACTGTAACAAACTCACAGGTGACTTACTTCGAAATGCGCTTATGAAGTTCTAGTGGGAAGTCACGATTAGTAAAGTTCAAACATGTTGTTATGATTCTCTCTTACGGTTATAAACCAGCTATTCCAATTGCTTAGTATTCTCGGACACCGATTCGCTCGACAAGTCCCCCAAATCAGAACACGGTTGTACAGGAAAAGAGGTTACATTCCAAATAACAAGGTTAGATGGAAGTAAGTAACACAATAGGAAGAACGTTACTATATTTATAGTTTTTGCATGAGATTCTAGAGTATTCTCCAAAGTATCGACTAGTGCTGATTGGATAAGAATTAGCCAATCAGTGCGCACCAAAGCAACTGAGCATGCTTCAGTCCAGTCAATGTCCCGCTAACACATGTCTAGAGTGAAATCAACTAGCTATTTCTCTGTGATACTAACGCATAAATTTCCAACAAATCATATACACTTACAATTTTGCTACCATTATTATGATCATTTTCAACTCTCCAATTCATGTGCACGTTCTATGAATTTACTAAACACCGACTCAAGTATCCCGAACAGATTCATCTAATTGTAGTAGTAAAGCCTGATGAAAAGTTACCGAATATATTTGTTGGAATCTTTTATGGATTTTCTGATTGAGTGGGCTTTTAAAAAGATAAATACCTATCAATTTATTGAGTATTACCTTATCACTTATGAAAAACTTCGACAGATGATAGATAATATGATCATCGCTTTCATTTCTTTTAAGAAATAGTGCTTCCTAGCTGCAAGAAAGTTAGTACGCAGAATTATAAGTTGACATGATGAGTTGCATTATGGACCCGACTTATTAAAGCTACGCACAACTCATCTTGGAGCTAGTCCCAGTTGAGCGCAGGATTATTTAGAAATAGTTTCGGCATTCATTTCGGATCTCCAAAGATATACGACCATTAAACCACTCAGCACATAGTTCTAAAGCTATAATACTATTTTTGAGAAAGGATCAAGAAAAAGACTCGAGCTCTCTTCGGTTATCAGACGGAACTATGTTCATAAATTTGTGCTTTATTATCAAGCAACACTAAGTATGATGGGAAAAACATAAACTACTCACCTATTACGTCATGCCTACAATGACAAAACAAATTTCAACATAAGTTTCCTCATTTTATTGATTAATACAGAAACATATTAAGAGGGTGGAATAATATTTGCAACTGTAAGTTCATAATTTCAGATATTTGATCAAGGAGCTAAAGTGTAAACTTATTATTTTCTTTGAAAACTTTTACTTAAACGTAGACCTTTATTTACACTCACGAACCCTTTTGGACCAATATTTCCATCCCCAGAAAACTTGTCATTACAGATTATATCATACTTGTCACCACATTTAGCAAAGTGTTCAGTGGGACTTAATAGCTAAATCCAAGTGACGAGGGGAGGGTTACAAACGTTCAGAAGTAAATTCGGAATCAGTTTTTAAAATCTTAACATGAAATCTGGGGGGGTTAGCATACGCTAATGAGTCTTAAGACAAACCAATCAGAGTACTTAACAGTTTTGTTACTTCAGAATAAATCATTGAACCGTCAACTTCAGAGGAATGTTGTTCATAACAAAACCAGACTACCTAATTGTCTAGTAATACTTCATCTAAACAATCAGTTCACTAGCTCTTCATGAGAAATTTACCACAGAATGTAAACTCATTTTGACATAGTTGTACTTTAAAAATACAACTAATTTACAATTGCGATATAATACAGAAAACAAGGATATGTTTCTTTACATCTAAATTTTCAGTTTAGAAAGCGAAATTTTTTCCAGAGTATATCCTGAAAAAGTCTAGTTACTAGTTACCACTTTCGGGTCTGATGATGCCATTGTAGACAACTTCTTAGTAGTTTGCATATACGCTTGCATAAATTTTGAGGCGCATCTATCTAAACAAACTGCTTCACCTTTAGTTAGATCACCATCATTATAATTAGATGGAATACATTTAGCTAGACAGCTACTTGTCATACTGGTAAATACTTGTTGCATCATTTCGATTTCAAACATTTGCATTTGTCTTTCAACCGCTTTATCACCTTTGGTCGACATTATGATTACGATGTTTGTTTGTTTACAGTCACGATTTTAAAATTAGCCAATTTATCAGTCTACAAACGAACATTTGAATAATAAAGAAATTAACGGAATGTTAACACAATACTTTAAGCAAATAAATGGTAATCTTGTTTTAAGTTTAAAAGTGAACAATAAAACAAATTGTGGTTAGGTTTAGAAGGGAAATGTTGATAAGATCACTTGCCGAAAACCATGGGAAACTTATAAATGCAGACACAAAGGTTTCGATAAGTACTTATAGAGGTAACTAATTAGTTAAAGCACTCAACATTCAAATATTTCAGTACAGTTACGAACTCCAATTTAGTTTAAACAGTTTACATGGATAAAAGTTTGGCCTGAAGTTGAATATACAAACTAGTACCTATTGATATTGCATTTACTGTTGGGATAAAAAAGTAAAGAAAACAACTGAAATATATCGGTTATGTAGTCTTATTTTAACCTCATATTGTTTACCTTCTGTAAAATCTGTTTGGAAGTATTTGACATTAGTAGAAAAGTAAGTTAAAACGAATGCAAGGTAGTAATTCAACAACGGTTTAAACTCGTAACTACATAGTGATCCGACAAACATACTGAAAGCTAGTTTGATGCATGGAATAATATAAAAATTTTAAAACAAAGGTTAAGGCTTAGAGATTAAGTACATATATTTTGACGCATTTGATTTAGTTATTCATAAATACAACTAATGTATTAGGGAATGAAGAGATAAAGAAATAACCAAGGGCATCATTTTTTGTTCTAAAGTAATTTATTATCTGTACTCTTTGAGTACGGAAACAAAAAGGGTAATGCTATATCTCCTCATTGTGTAAACCTTTCAATGTTGTTTGTATTCAAAGGTGTAAAGGCTTTTTTGTACTTATTTTCGTCGGATTTTTGCTTTCAGTTACAGTAACACATAAACCTCAGCCTTTTGTGTTCAGCGTCTGTTACCTTTAAGGTCTTAGAAAAATACTTATTCTAGAGATCAGATTTTTGTTCTCTTTGTGAGATCAATACACAATTTTATTGCGCGAGTAAAACATCGTTGTGGTAGACCCGCGTGTCTTTTCCTGATCGAGGACGTAGTGCAATGTGACAACTGCAACAAGTGATATCACAACATGTGTACCGGACTCACACCGGCTGCATATAAAAGGTGCTGCAACCCATTATCACGTTGTCTGTGCAAAGTATGCTGCTCCACAAAGTCTCTGCTGAGTTTTGAAGTGGTTGAACTGCTGAACATAGCTAAAAAGATGCCCTCAGATAAATAGCCAGCAGCAGATTAACAGTTTTCAGTTTTTGAGGAAGCAGTGAGTATTATCATGAGTCCAACTTTGGATTTTAATGAAACCATCAAGATGGACCCAAATAGCGTAGTGGATAACAAACAGATGTAGGCATGGTTACCGGAAAAAGCATGCTGAGAAGAAACAAATTATAGGGAGCTCTAAGAGATGTGAGTCGACGGTTTCAGGTCCGGATTCACATACCAATGCAAAATAGACTATTGAGGAGCAAAGCCTGAGCGGTGTAGATGATGTGACCAAGATAATAAGGTCGATGAACTACTTACAATTACACCCAGAAAAGAAAAGTAAGTAAACAAAGTGAGACATTCGCATTTGACTCCAAACTGAACTGTAGGAATGGAGATATTTTGAGAAGCAAAACCTCGCAGCATGTTAAGACGGGTCTCTGTGACAAGTCAGCCATTTTTCATAAGTTAAGAGAATCTTCCAAAAAGAACCAAAGGTTGGATTTGAACACGACTTAAGTCACATTAAGCCCTTAATAAGCAAACTGCTTCCAGAAACGGTAGGAGTTAACATCTATAAGCTTTGTACAATAGAGAAACAAATGGACTCCGAGAGCGCGCAGAAAAGCTGCCTCTTAAAAGTTACCTTAGCTCCTGCTAAAAAAAACCTAATACTGGAAAACGCACGCAAACTGACTGGGTCCAGAATAGATGTCCGTGAGGATCTCAGACTGGTTTGTCCTATTAAGAGTTATTATTATTACTTATTATTTAAACGCATAAATATTAGTGCAAGAAGGCACCAAATAGATATACGCCACATAAATCGTTTGGTTTGTGTGAGGGCTGAAAAACTTCCTGGGTGCCCAAACCGGATCACGTGGTTTTCCTAGAAGGTCAAACCCGGAGCCTTCGACCTAAAGGTCTAATCCACACGGCAGTGGAACAAAGTCAGCAGATGCAGTCCCATGATAGTCGGTGACCAACAAGTGGTTCATACGCCATTTGTTCCCTCAGCACACTGGAGTCCATGTGCACCATTGGTTTGGAATCAGGGTTTCCCAACTCCTCTAGGTGGACTGCCTGTGTTCATCAACCCGGTTAAAGCGCAGGACATTCTCTTCTCGTCCTCTCAATTTTGTAAACAACAGTAATGCCGTAAGAAGACAGTGAGTAGGACTTCCATGGCAATGGTTTTATGCACGTGACCGTGTGAGAGCCCCCAAATGCCCTGGTACGGCCGAGAGTGGGGAGAGTCCGCCCTCTCTCTCGAAATGCTCTCACACGGCCACGCGTATATAGCCTTTGCCAGGGAAGTCCTACTCACTGCCTTCTCGTGGCGCGGGTGTTGTTTACGAAAATGAGAGGACGAAAAGCGAATGTTCGGCGCTTTAACCGGATTCAAAACCAATGGTGCACATGGGCTCCAGTATCCTGCGGGAACAAATGGCGTATGAACCAATTTCTGGTCACCGGCTACCATGGGACTGCATCACCTTACGATGCTCCACTGCCTTGTGGGTTAGACCATTAGGTCAAAGGCTCGGGGTGTGGCCCCCTAAGAGAACCACCTGCTTCGGTCTGGGCACCCGGGCAGTATCATAGCCCTCACACATATCGAATGAGATTTGTGTGGCGCACATGTATTTGGTGCCTCTTTGTACTATTATCTATATGTTGAAACAAAAAAATTCCGAGAGGGAGAGTTGACTCTCCCCACTCTCGGCCGTACTAGAGTATTTGGGGGTGGCAGAGGTAGAAATGAATGAGCGCCGCTGGAACGGTGAAAAAGCTTATACTTAAGGGTTTCCACGCCGTAGAAGTTTGGAGCGAAACGATCCTCAAACCACTCTGGGTGGTGAGGGAAGATTATTTACAGAAATAAATGTGTATACAAATGCTTGCAGCCTGCCTAATACAATGCCGGAGCTCAAACCAGTGGTGGACACAGAAGACTTTGATGTGATTGACATTTCAGAAACATGGTAACGTCAGAAGTGTATGATAGTGAAATTCAGTTGCTTGGTTTCTTACCTAGCAGGACTGACAGACTAAACCGTAGGTATGGTGGGGTTATCCTATACACGAAAAGCACTTTAACCATACGAGCTGTCGAGACAGTGGTACACGACTCAGAGACATATGAACTGGTGCGCTGCATGGTCAAATGTAAGCGTTAAGATATTGAATCAGTTGTAGTATACCGCAGTCCAGAATGTGTAGTGGGTGACTTGCTTCTAAGCAAAATTAAGTGCTGGTGTAATAGGGGTAAAACCCTTATAACAGGCAACTTTAATGCACCGTACATAAATTGGGGAAACTTAGAAGTAGGGATATCAACATCATTCGATTGCGGATTGTTAGAAACTGCAATCTCCCCAGCTTTATTCTAGCACATTAGAGATCCAACTAGAAATGACCTACACAACTCATCTCTCTTGGGTCTAGTCTTCAAACACAGGGACGATGTCGATCAAATAACTTTCCTCCACCTTTAAGGAGAAGTGATCGTGCTGTAATCTTATTTAAATTCATGACTGAGATGGCCTGTCAAACAGTTGTGTCGGTCTGTTCTAACATATAGAACGCAGGAATGAATGAGACCATCTCTGCAGCCTCGGTTGAGAACTGGATAATTGACTTAGGGGCATGGACTCATTTCCGGCAGTCATACAACCAAGTAACTCAGCCATTCATACCCTAGACAGTCCCAAAGAAGAAGAGGCACAGCCATCCCTGGATAAACAGGGATATTAGATGTTTACTAAGGCAAAAGAAGAAATGTTGAAACATCGCCATTAGCCTTGACACAGCCAGTACGATGGGACGCTACAGGTCAGTAAGAGCCAAGTGTATGATTACGATTGGAGAAGCTCGGAGAAAGCATGAAAAGCAGTTAGCCCAATCTGTGAGACTATCCTCGTACATAAATTACAGAAAAACGACGCAACATTGAATTCCTAACTTAATTACGGAAGAAAGTGGATCTCAAATGACAGAGGATGATCAGGAAAAAGCAGAGGATATGGCAAACTATTTCGGGACAGTTTTCACTCAGAAGCACCTTATAGATGAAAATATAGACCCAAATACAAAGTCAAAAAATCGTCTGCTCACTGTGGACTTCAATTGAGACGATGTTCTTAAGGCCCTTAACACCCTAAACACAGAAAAGTCAGAAAGACCAGATGAATTTCATCCGAAAATACTGAGGCAACTTACACATTATATTGCTGCCCCATTGACTACGATATTCAATGTGACTTGGCCAAGGTAAGTTGCCTATAGAATGGAAGGATACAATTATCACTCCAATACATAAAACAGGATCAAGCCAACTTTCATCAAACTACAGACCTGTCAGTCTCATCAGTGTGGTAGTTAAAATACTGGGAAGAATGACCAAAAAGACCATAATGGCATTCGTGGAAAGCAACAACTTATTAAACAGTGAACAACATCGTTTCAGGAAAGATTTATCTTGAGCAACAAATCACCTTATAGCATGAGAGAAATGGATACACTCTAGATAATGGAAAATCAGTGGGTGTTTTCCACATAGACTTCAACAAAGCATTTGATAAGGTGCCGAGAAGTAAACTACCCTTGAAGCTGGAAAATCACGGCATTGCCTGGTAGGTCGCAGGCAGAAAGTGAGAAAAGAATTCCCAGTGTTCTTCCTGGAAACCAGTACTTAGTGGGATACCCCAAGGCTCTGTCCTAGGTCCCCCACTTTTTATACTGTATGTAAAGGAACCCTCAACTGTAGCTGTACCCAATGCTAATATATGCTGATGATGTGAAAGCCTGGTGAAAAATGACAGGAAACGCAGATGCATGTGCACTTCAGGCAGGCTTAGATATTCCGATTAACTGGTTTAAAAATTGGCTGATGCTTATCGATGCGGCCAAGTGTGTCTACATGCACTTTAGGGACACAAAGGAAAATAGGTACAGAGTAGGGGGAGTGCCTGTACCAGTAGTCCGGTCTCACAAGGATCTTGGGATGACATTGAGTCATGATCTTAGGACCACAACCCACTACCATGAAGTTAAAGCTTAGTGGTTTAGAACCCTATAGGCCTTAAGACGGATATTCACCAAGTTAGATACTACTATGTTCACTACAGTATACACATGTGTAAACTAAGGTTGCAACTTTAGTGAGAACTAAACATGGGAAGTGTTCAGGCAGAAAGCCCCTGTTCAAAAGGTGGCTCAGATATCCTGGGAAAAGTACATAGGGCAGCTACCCATGCAACTTCAGAACTCCGGGGTTTACCATACAAAGAGCGGCTTGCAAAGCTAGACCTCTTTACCCTACCGCAGATTAAGAGTTGATGTGATCACGATGCATAGAATACTAAGAAATGACTTTGCACCCAATATATTTTTTCCTCTTCTTCCTACCAGATCGGGACAACTCAGAGGACACAGCAGGCGAGTAGAAAAGCCAAGAAAGAACAAAATACCTGAGGCATACAGGTTTTTACACAGAGTGGTCAATTCTTGGAACCTGTTGCCCGAAGCAGTAGTGTTAGCACCTTCAGTTAACCCATTCAATAGAAGACTATAAACTCACAAAAGCATACTGGAAAATCAATAACATAGGCTGTAGACGTGCTGTCCTCACTACACAAATATGAATGAAATTTAATTAAGCTTAAGGTTATTGATCATCCAGTGATTTTACCGCATTTTAGTTGATTATTCTATAATCTGCAAATAAAAATAGCACATACTAAGATGCTCTCAATATGAAGGAAATGTGATGGTCAACCTTACTCACAAAACTACGAAGGCTTGCCAGTGAAACGATGCCAACTCATTTGTTTTTGCGGTGCTCCAATTTGACCTAGAACCTTTGCAATATCCAATGAATATATGAAAAACTTGAGTAAACTGATCGGTTCTTTTGCGCTCGCTTCTTGTTATTTCGCAAGACTCCAAGTATTCGGTAATGTTTAACGAGTGGTAGTCTAACCACTCAACTTCACTAGTTCTAGTCAGTTTCGCAGTAGTTATTTATGGGTTTTTAAATCTTATGGTTTGAGTGTGTGCGTTTGTCTTAAGGCAGTAGGGTTTCTTGGCACTAGCAGTTACCAAATTACCAGTCAGGTTGACCAGCTGCTCGCAGTATGTAAAGTGATTGGGTAAAAATTCGAGTGCTAGGAGTTGATTGTTTCAATAGATGAATAAGTACTCACTACTAACTAATTGATAGTCGAGCGAGTGTGAGAAAACTGGGGCTAAGAATTCGAGTGGAAATGAGGATGATAATATGGAAGGTAAGAGGTAGTTACTGATATGTGATAATGATAATGGTAGGTAAATTATGAGACATGCATCAGGCATAGCTGGTCCAGGAGGCAGATGGCAATCCATGGGTAAGTATTTGTTGGTTAAGTCTCCTCTTGTAGCTATTCATTGTTTGAGGCTGTGCTCACTTCTGCTTGGGAAGTATTCCAAGTGGAGACAGCTCCTAGTGTAAGGAACTGGGATCTTACCCGGCTTTTCCGATATTTTATGTGCAACTTTCTGGGGTTGCTTCGCGGTGTGTGATGGTGATGTTGTTGTGGGGTGTTCATGTCGGCGTGACTTAGCATATTCATTGTGTCATATGATATCAGATCACCTCATATTCTGATGCAGCTTAGCGAGGATAATTCCAGGTTTTGGAGCCTATCTTCTTGAGACTTACACTCTAAATCTACCAACCACACGACTGCTTGTCCCTGTACGTGGTCTAATAGATTTGTATCCCTTATAATAAGAGGGAAAGCAACGAAATTGTAAACCGTGGGGTGTGGTTGTGTGTACGTTCTCAGGTGTTAGGAACAACTCTGGGATGACTGCGTCAAGTTGTCGTCTCATGAAGTGGTCAGCTACGTCTTGCTCTGGCTGAACACCCCATAAAGTTTGGGTAGGTGTTTAAGTACTTCGTGGTTACGGACCGGAGATCACGCTCTGAAGGTGTAATTGGTTTGTATCAAATGTAACAGAATGTTCATGATATGACACTTCGACAAGTGAAGTTCTGACTGACTGTCTACTGCCTATTCTACCATTGTTGCAAGGTCCTTTTGAAGCTCAAGTGAAACTTTTTCGCTTTACATGGCCCTTCAGATCTTCGCGTTGTCTACATAGATCAGAGTTGCTGGGTTTGTCTCGTCTAACAGGTC